TACTGGGCTCTATCATACGTATATTTAAATCTGTGTATGGAGTCAGCTTCCACCACATCACTGCCTAATGCATTCCATTTATTAACTACTCTGACACTGAAAAAATTCTTTCTAACGTTGTTGTGGCTCATCTGGGTACTAAGTGTCCACCTGTGTCCCCTTGTTGGTGTTCTGTGTGGGTTAGTAGACGAGAGAAAGTGTAAATGCCATATTGGGTAGGGTCCTGCAACGGGTGATTGCCTTGGATCTGTAGTATAGTGGTTTAATGACTTGGTAATTGCTGATGATTTATTGGTAAAAACAGAATTTGGGATAGTTGAGAAGCACTGTCGATTAGTTGAAGTCTTGTGAGGGTCAGAAGATGAGAGATTCAAACCTACAATAATTTACTAACTCAAGAATCACCCCATTGTTAATATTATATATTCCACACCTTATTCTACTCCACTTTAAGCACATTATACATTCCACCAAAATTTACATATATTAAATAACTATAAAACAAAGTTCAAAACGAAAACCAAACTTTGCAACACTCTTCAAGAACAGAGTTTGGGTTAGTTAAGAAGCACTGTCGATTAGTTGACGTCTTACGAGGGGCCAGGAGACGAGAGAAGTGTCGTGCCGTAGTGGGCAGGTTTTTGCTACGGCTGATTACCTTGGATCTGTAGCAGTGGGTTAACCCTTAGGCTGCTACAATCGCTTTCTGCAACTTCTTCCTCTGTACAAATCGACATATACAGCTATTTCTTTTTGGCTTTTCAATACTTTTTTCAACTCAGACCACGTTATAGTGCTTTTAAATACCTGCGCTGTTTAGGGGGTTAATGACTTAGTAATTGCTGATGGATTATGTATGAAAACAAATACAACCACGAACCACCCCCCATCCCCCGACAACTGTGGTGGCCTGGTTATCTGGGGCGTGTGCGTGGGACTACCCACCGCACAGGTTCGAATCCTCATCACGGTTCCTTCGGATTTTCGCATTGATACAATCACCTGTGATTACTCTCTGTGTATGATCTCTCTGGTTACACATTGTATTTTGAGCAGCCTATTCCTCGTTCATTATGTATTACCCCCCCATACTATACATAAATTACCTAATTATGTTAAGTTATGTCCTAAACGATCTATGTATTACTGGCTTTATATATTATACGTTGTATACCTACAAATATTCCACTATATCATGTTTCAGATATATCTGTGTATAAATATATATTTTTATTAGTAGTAGTATGTGGCTGTAGGCCTGTGGCCAGTGGTGGAGTGTGGTTGTTCACGCCTTGTCCCACACACCATCAGCCAATTACTCATAGTTGCAGTATTTACTGGGCACAGGACCCCCCCTTGTGCACGCTGCGTCCCATCTTGACGCAGTGCTGTATGTGGGCACAGTGCCTCATGTCCCCATGTGGACGCAGCAGCCTATGCGGACGCAGAACAGTGGACGCTATACCATGTTTGTGTTGCGTCAGGTGTTGTACACATAACAACAACCGAACAACCGCTAAACACTCACTGAGAATTCACTAATTCAGAATTCACTGAATAATAATTAAACACATGCACAATCACCAATCAACAATCATTGAAAAATTATTTATCATCACAAAATAATCACCAATCACTGCACACTAAATAATTACAAAATAATTACCAATCACTGCACATTAAATAATTACAAAATAATTACCAATCACTGCACATTAAATAATTACAAAATAATTACCAATCACTGCACATTAAATAATTACAAAATAATTACCAATCACTGCACACTAAAATAATCACAAAACAATCACTCAAGAACCACTAAACAACAACTAAACCAACGACTGAACAGTCACTGAACAGTCACTGAACGAAATAACTGCAAACAATCATTAAACCATTAAACAATCACAAAACCTCTAACAGTCACTAAAGAACCATTAAACAACCACAAAACATTAAATAAACCACCAGTAAACAGGTCAGAGGGTCCGAGAAGTCGTGAAGGAACGCCAACTTACCCTCCCGGGGAATTTCCATGTTTCTTGATAACCTTGGCAGAGGTCGGTTTTTGTTGGCTCGTGTGAACACGTGTAGGCAGGTGCCGGGGTCCCCGAAGGCAGGTGCTGGCTGCCACAAGCACAGGTGCTGAGAGGGGCCACGTGGGCACGTGTTGAGAGGGGCCACGTGGGCACGTGCTGAGGGGGCCACGTGCTGAGAGGGGCCACGTGGGCACGTGCTGAGAGGGGCCACGTGGGCACGTGCTGAGAGGGGCCACGTGGGCACGTGCTGAGAGGGGCCACGTGCTGAGAGGGGCCACGTGGGCACGTGCTGAGAGGGGCCACGTGCTGAGAGGGGCCACGTGCTGAGAGGGCCCATGTAGGGAAGTGCCAGGGGACAGGGCACAGGTCTGACTCCATCCACAAGTTTCCCACTCTGACTTAACTCCATTTATGCTAACTGTTTTTCTCTGAACTAACCAGGCTGTGATGCAACACTTGATACCCGCCAATACCGTGAGCCTCTAGTCTTCCAGTGTCACTCGTGGAACACAGTATCAGAGGTCCTGCTAGAGCCAAGGTGCAGAATGTTGCAATGTTTTCCACTATCAACTACTTGATATATGCTGGACAAGAATGAGAGTATATTTGGCAAACATGAATGAGTCTTACTGAAGCCACGTGAGTCCTTGATCAGTCTGTTTTCAGAGATGTAAACGAATGACTTTTGTAATTATTGATTCAAGAAATTTTCCTCCAGTTAATAAAGATTCAGCAACTATTCAGGACGATAGTTCGACGGACGCAATCATAGTAATAATTTACACCACATTAGCAACTTTCATATATAATAAGTCAATGGAGTTGTGGAAAGACAAGGGAGCCGCTATACCTTCTTTACCTTCCTTGGACATCCTGCCCATCACCTCGGGGCCTGGCGCCTTGCCGGGGTTTAATTGTTCGGTTTAATAACTTCCTCGCTGGTAATAAGCTAGTCAACCGGTCTTCTTGACCACCTACATAGATGGGTTCAGCTGTTGACACATTATCAAGTTCTTCACTAGTAAACACAGAGACAAAGTGCTTATTTAAAATACCACCCAAATGTTTCTTAGTTAACCTGTTCCAGTTCTCAGTGGGTCAGACTTCTCCCTAATCTTTGTTTGATATTCCTCAAGAAAAACACTTTAGGATTAGTCTTTGCCTGTCTTACAATGCGTTATTCATAACTTACTTTCGTAACATTTATTTTAAGTTTGAGAAGCTGTTGTTCTCTAATAACTTCCTCCATTCTTATTTCGTTTCTATATGCTGTAGTTACCTTTTACCTAGACAGTTGTATAGTCTCAAGACTATCATTTGGGGTCACTCTTAATCCTCCCAACCAATTTATATGATATTGAATATTTCTGCTTCTGAGTTATTCCCATAGCTTGACGCTCGTGCTGGAGCGTCAGGTCACTTACTGGTGACCCCCCTGGTGACCCCCCTGGTGACTCCCCCTGGTGACTCCCCCTGGTGACTCAGCCTGGTGACCCCCCTGGTGACCCCCCTGGTGACTCCCCCTGGTGACTCCCCCTGGTGACTCCCCCTGGTGACCCCCCTGGTGACCCCCCTGGTGACTCCCCTGGTGACTCCCCCTGGTGACTCCCCCTGGTGACTCCCCCTGGTGACTCCCCCTGGTGACTCAGCCTGGTGACTCCCCCTGGTGACTCAGCCTGGTGACTCCCCTGGTGACCCCCCTGGTGACTCCCCCTGGTGACTCCCCCTGGTGACTCAGCCTGGTGACCCCCCTGGTGACCCCCCTGGTGACTCCCCCTGGTGACTCAGCCTGGTGACCCCCCTGGTGACCCCCCTGGTGACTCCCCCTGGTGACCCCCCTGGTGACCCCCCTGGTGACTCCCCTGGTGACTCCCCCTGGTGACCCCCCTGGTGACTCCCCCTGGTGACTCCCCCTGGTGACTCCCCCTGGTGACTCCCCCTGGTGACTCAGCCTGGTGACCCCCCTGGTGACCCCCCTGGTGACTCCCCCTGGTGACTCAGCCTGGTGACCCCCCTGGTGACTCCCCCTGGTGACCCCCCTGGTGACCCCCCTGGTGACTCCCCCTGGTGACTCAGCCTGGTGACCCCCCTGGTGACTCAGCCTGGTGACCCCCCTGGTGACCCCCCTGGTGACTCCCCCTGGTGACTCCCCCTGGTGACTCCCCCTGGTGACTCCCCCTGGTGACCCCCCTGGTGACTCCCCCTGGTGACCCCCCTGGTGACTCCCCCTGGTGACCCCCCTGGTGACCCCCCTGGTGACTCAGCCTGGTGACTCAGCCTGACCTCTAGGGTCATCACACCTCATCTCCCCCCCCCTCTTTGGTCAAGGCTGGTCAATCTGTCCTTCTCCATAAACTCCTTAATCCCTTAAAATCAGTTTCACGAAACTGATTTTGGTGGCACCACACCAGGGGGGGGGGAAATTTCTCCATTATTATTAGTAATTATTATTAGTTAGAAAATCAGTAGGAGCCGTGAAGAGGATTCGAACCTGTACTTTGGGTACTCCCAATGCCTTAGGCCACTACACCCCGTCATGGTCAAAGAACTGCAACCTGGGATCCCACTGAGTCGTCAAGGGTTCCTGAGGCTTCACTTGAAGCCTAATCATCGTTGTACACAATTCCCCCCTCCCCCCCCCAGGACTCTGTAACCCTGCGAGCAGTAGAACAGAATATATGATAAACATTAAGATGAAGCAATGAGAGATAATAGGACGGGTTCTCTTCTTGTTTGGAACAGGTGTTGACCAGGTGTGTGTACCAACAGGTGTTGACCAGGTGCGTGTACCAACAGGTGTTGAGCAGGTGTGTGTACCGACAGGTGTTGACCAGGTGTGTGTACCGACAGGTGTTGACCAGGTGTGTGTACCAACAGGTGTTGACCAGGTGTGTGTACCGGCAGGTGTTGACCAGGTGTGTGTACCGACAGGTGTTGACCACGTGCGTGTACCAACAGGTGTTGACCAGGTGTGTGTACGGAGAGGATGAAGAGTGTGGTGGCGGTGTTGGTGTTGTGGGTGGCGGTGTGGGCGGCCGCGGGCGTGGAGGACACGCCCCAGGAGCACCAGCAGCTCCACACCAGAGTAAAGAGGCAGTGTAAGTCCTCACTCACTCATTAACGTAATTTCCTCTCATATTCAAATTCATTCAATTAAGTAAAACAAACGTCATTCACTCGTACAATTTCACTCATACACTCATTGCCCCCTCACAGGTGCCTCGGCTTCTCACACTTCTCATAACCAACCCGTTCTCGCACTTTCTTATAGTCAATATTGACTTATTAAATACGTGCATATGTGACATACTAAACATACTAGTTTACCTTGAAAAGCTTCATAGAAAACACCGACCTTACCTAACCTTCTTAGTATGTTAAGATAAGCATCTTATTGCTTCGTAATTACAATTATTACTTAACGTATTATAGGTATAGGTAACCTATACCTATTATAGGTATAGGTTAAGTAATAATTGTAATTATTAATCCCTATAATAGGTATAGGTTACCTATAATAGGTATAGGTAACCTATACCTATTATAGGTATAGGTTAAGTAATAATTGTAATTACGAAGCAATAAGATGCTTATCTTAACATACTAAGAAGGTTTGGTAAGGTCGGTGTTTTCTATGAAGCTTTTCAAGGTAAACTAGTATGTTTAGTATGTCACATATGCACTTATTTAATAAGTCAATATTGACTATACGAAAGTGCGAGAACGGGTTGCATACTCACACCTCCCACTCTGATGCCTCGCTAACTCATCCCCAACTTACTCGTGTCTTATATTATGATGTGTAAATGTTTAGAAGTTGGGCGCGTTTCCTATCACCTAATGCATCTTTTCACCTAATAGTAACTAGGTACCCAGGAGTTACTCAGCTTGCTGTAGGGATTGCATTCCTGGGGGGGGGGGAAGTCAGTATAAGTCTAACACGTATATATACATTGGCTTATATACAATGTATATATGTATACATATATACATTGGCTGCCTGTCCCCCAACACAATTATTATTATTATTATTATTTAAATCATCATTATTACTAATTATAATTGTATCATAAAATAGGCTGCATTTTATGCAATGTTTGCTGTTGTTGTTCGTGTTGTTAGTGTATTATTTTTGTATCATTATTGTGAATGTATTGTATATACTGTATTTTTTGTATTAGATTTCTTTATCGACTGCATCTTTTTTTAGTTGGGTTTCACGGCAGACGAGGCGGGAACCCCCACTTTCTCAACGACCGTTTTGGTAAGTCGGTAGAGGCTAGTTGGCTAGTTAGCTGCCTGGTTATTTACCTTGTAAACTGGCTGGCTAGCTGGACGGCTTGTTAGTTGTCCAGTTTACTGGTTAGCTGGGAGACTGGTTTATTAGCTGGCTGGCTAGTTTGGCTAGCTGGCTTGTTGATGGCTAGCAGGCTAGTTAGCTGTCTGGGTGATTGTTTAGCCGGATGTCAGGCTGGGCTGGATGACTAGGTAGTTGGCTAGCTGACTAGCTGCATAGCTGACAGGTTGGCTAGTTGGCTGACGGCTAGGTGAAAGGCTTAAAAAAAGCTTAGTCTGACTTCATCAGTTAGAACTTAATGTTGCTTATCGCGTGGCTTTGTACACAAAATTAATGCTTAGCTAAATCAGTTTAAAATATATCTAAAGCATTTTGCCAATATTGTTCCTAATATATAAAGCTTCAAATCTTAAGCTTTGGATGCTTAGCTTTTATTAAATGCCGTTTTTGGTAACTCTTTTGAAGTTCCTAATGCAATATTGTATATATAAAGTGATTTAAATTAAATAAATGTACACTCACACAGTCACTGCTGTACACTCATGTGTGGACTGCTGTACTTACAGTCAGTTGTACACTCATTCAGGCACTGCTGTGTATACACCCACACAATAACTGCTGTACACAGTCCTTTACACACACACTGTCACCCATGTACACTCACTGTGTCACTGCTGTACATACACTCGATCTATCGTGTACGAAATCAATCACCGGTTTAGACTCAGTCACCCACACAAGCTCTTGACATATCTATTATCTCTCGCCTCTCTCTCTCTCTCTCACTTCTTTCTCATCCCTCACCCGCCTCACCCCCGGCAGGAGGCCGCCAGGACAGCCTCTTCCTCCCCGGTGAGACTCCCAACTTGGACGACTCGGCTTTGTTTACCCAGCTCGAGAACCCTCAGGACCCCTCCAGTTTCCAGGAGCGTGCCCCGCCCCGTTAGTCCCCAAGAACTGTTCGCGCAAGCTTGCCTCTCCCGCTTCAGTGCCGCTTCACTTCCTCCCCTCTAGCGCTTCCGCCACTGCTTGCGATTACAGCAGCTATAACTACAAGTCTTTAAGACTGTAAACGACATAACAGCTTATGGGAGCATGGGTTGTTGTATTATTCCTGATCTTGAAAAATACAGCAATATTTACATTTTTTCTTGGGTGGTGCTTTCAGTGTGGAGGCCGCGGCTTGTTAAAGGTTCAGGAAGTGCTGCTACTGGCCATAGGAGCGGTAGTCGCAGTGGTGATAGCAACGGGTTAGATATGGCAGCAGAAGTTGTGGTAGACATATCAGTAAAGGTAACAATAGTGGTAGATAGAGCAGTAGACGTTGAAGTAGCACTAGAGGTAGATATAGCAGTAGACTGAGAAGTAGCATCACTAATATCAATTTTACTAGCAGAAGCAGTTTGCAATGAGAATCATAAATAGATATAGACACACAATTATCGGCAGCTACTCTAGCAATAGCAGTAGAAGTAGTGGTACAGATAGTACTAGCTGTAGCAGCACTAATACAACTACATACTAGCACTGATCCATGATCACTAGTGCATGACCGGTAGTTCTAGCACTAGCCTATTACTAGAATCATTACAGTTGCTGCTTATGTTGCATAGTCGTGCATGATAAACATAGTTAAGTCTTCGTGACCAGGCCCTCCAAGACAGGATCCACTATCTTGTTAAGGTTGGTAAATAACTTGTGATTTTATACGTGTTTCTCTATCATGTTTCATTGTGTGTCTGTATTTTGTATACATTTTATTCCCCATATTTAATACGTCCATTTATATCTTAAGTCCATCCATATCATCCATTCTGTTAAAAAAGCCTATACGCTCGTGTGGATTTAGTCCATCCATACGATGGATAGACTAAATTATAGTCTTGTATTAAATGCGTCCGTACGACCCCGTCTATCACGACCGGCTACGGTATCTGATGTTACTTCTTCTTCCATGAGTCCTGATCTCAGGCACTAGGAAAACATTTTCCTCGCTTTTATGGCAGGTTTGGCAACACTGCCACTGTGACTGTGTCAGGTCTGGCAACACTGCCACTGTGTGTCAGGTCTGGCAACAATCCATATTATATATATATATATATATATATATATATATATATATATATATATATATATATATATATATATATATATATATATATATATATATATATATATATTATATATATATATATATATATTTATATATATATATATATATATATATATATATATATATATATATATATATATATATATATATATATATATATATATATATATATATATATATATATATATATATATATATATATATATTATATATATATATATATATTATATATATATATATATATATATTATGTATATATATATATATATATTTATATATATATATATATATATATATATATATATATATATATATATATATATATATATATATATATATATATATATATATATATATATATATATATATATATATATATATATATATATATATATATATATATATATATATATATATATATATATATATATATATATATATATATATATATATATATATATATATATATATATATATATATATATCCATGTAGACCAGACCACACACTAGAAATTGAAGGGACGACGACGTTTCGGTCCGTCCTGGACCATTCTCAAGTCGATTGTGATGAGGACAGGTAGGGACAGGCATTAAATAGGCAAGAGAGAGCTGAGGAGGAAAGTCAGGTGTAGAGAATAGTAGTAATGAGAACTGCAGCAGGCCTATTGGCCCATACGAGGCAGCTCCTATTATAACCACCGAAGGAGATAGTAATAGGAAAAAGAAGAGGATAGCAAGGGAGCGTAGAAGACAATGAACAGAAAAAGGGAGAAGAGAGAAAGAAAGGGAAAGAGAAAGAAAGAAATGGAAGGGGGAAAGCTTATGTTAAGTCACGTTTGTTAGAAAGATTAGAGCATTTGAGTATATACTGTGAAAGGGAAGAGTCCACAGCAACAAAGCCAGGACTCAAGTTCATGTTGGGTACATTGTTAATAAGAGCCGATTCTACAAGACGGCGTCTGTGTAGAGTAGAGGCAGGAAAGATTATTTTGGAGGAAGACCAATCAATGGGATGATTAGAATCCCTCACATGGCAGAAGAGAGCATTGTTAGTGTCTGCAGACATAACACTTCTCTTGTGTTCTTTAAGTCTGTCATTCAGTGTACGGCCAGTTTCGCCAAAGTATTGGAGAGGACAAGATGAACAGGAAATAGAATAGACACCAGCAGCATTAGAAGCAGGAGGAGCAGTGTGAACTAGATTGCTACGAAGTGTGCTAGTTTGTCGAAAGGCGAGTTTAATGTCAAGAGGACGAAAGGTATTGGTAAAAGTTTTGAGTTCAGATATGAAGGGAAGGCATAGTACAGTGCTACTAGTGTTGGAATCAGGTTTAGGATGAAAGAAATTTCGTTTAGCTTGAGAGTGGGCACAGTTGATGAAATGCAAAGGATAACCAAGGCGAGAGAATGATTTGTAGATAAAGGCAATTTCAGAATCAAGAAACTGAGGGTCGCTGATGCGTAGAGCGCGGAGGAAGAGAGAGACGAGGACACTTTTCTTAACAGAAAGAGGATGGTAGGAAAAGAAGTGAATGTACATGCCACTATGCATGGGTTTACGGTAGACAGAGAAAGAGAACCCAGTCACAGAGCTGTGAACATGAACATCAAGAAAAGGAAGGAGGGAATTAGATTCCCACTCAACTTTGAAATGGATAGAAGGAGCCAGATTGTTAAGAGAGGCGAGGAAAGGCTGGAAAAGATTAAGGTCATGAGGCCATAAAGCAAAAATGTCATCAACATAGCGAAGCCAGAGAGAGGGACGAGTATCAATAGAAGGAAGAAGAACAGTTTCGAAGTATTCCATGTAGAAATTAGCAAGAACAGGGGAGAGAGGGGAACCCATAGCCACACCGAAAGTTTGAGTGTAATATTTACCGTTGAAAGAGAAAGAGTTAGATTCAACACAGAGTCTAATGAGATCGAGGAAAACGTCAGTGGGAATGTATATAAGTCAGTCCATGTATATAATGTATACATATATACATTATATACCCCGTTCCTGTGCCAGGTAAGTTACGGGCTGGGACAAGTTCCAAGTAGCATAGCCCGTGCTACTTGGAACTTGTTCTGAATAGCTGAATCTATAACAACAACAACAACAACAACAGTAATTTCTTATCACTTGAGAATGAACCATGTAGGTTCGAAACGTTGTGCAATTGTATAATAAGTGTAATACATTCTATAGTTATTCACTTTTTTCTTCACCTTGAAAAAACGGACATGACTTTTGGAGAACTCCTCTTTCAACTAATCCCTGATGCAAGAATAATAGAGGGATAGAAGCCCTAAACCAGAATATAGTTAATACAGAATATGCTGTCATATTCAATGAGACATGTTTAAAAGAAAACCTGCTGCTAGTATACACCAATGTATATATTATATATATATATATATATATATATATATATATATATATATATATATATATATATATATATATATATATATATATATATATATATTATATATATATATATATATATTTCAAGAAGATGTTTCAAGAATTGTAAAGCGCCTGCATGATTAGTCTTTTACATAACAATTGAATGTTTTATTTACTCCCAATAGCTGGACAAAGAGGCTTCATCCCACCTGGCCACCGCGGAGGCAACAGAGGACGACCCAACAGACCCAACGCTCAGTTAACAAACCAAGGTAACGGAAATTTCTGTTTGGGAAGGAATAAGAGAAACAGGTCAGAGTATATCAACCAGGCCAGTCAGCAGCTGACTCAAGATGGGTTACCATAGTTACAGAGCTACTAGGCCCACGGACCTGTCTTTTGGGGTGCTCCTAGCTTGGACAATCATAGCCTGAGGACGGGTTGGGGTCGGCCGCTGCTTGGGTGAACATAGCTTTTAGACGGGTTGGGGTCGGTCGCAGGTTGGACGAGCATAGCGTCAAGACGAGATGGGGTCCGCCGCAGCTGCTTCCGTAATCTGTTATTTGGTCCCCAATTCGTCTCACTCAAAGAACAATCTTTGGGATTCACGTCACAGCAAACCCTAAGACGGTTCGCCAACGGATTTAAAACATTCTTAATTTTTCCCATCCTAGGCTAACCTAACCTAACCCAACTAAGCCTAAATACAGCCTAACCTAAGCTAATTCATTCTAACCTAACTCAACCCAAACGAACCTAATAATATATACAGTTTTAACAATCAGAAAACGGGCTTTACCGAGCCCATCCTTGAACCAACTGCATTACCATGAGAAACCACATCCATCCTTAAACCACCTGGATAATTATGTAGACTTTGTGATGGTTTGAAAGCATATTACTGTTCCGATAATAGTCTGCATGTAAATTGGCAAATGAACTTTTGTTGTAAATAGAGATAATTCTCAAGTTCTAGTTTTAAAGTAATATATCGCTTGGTTTAAAATATAAAATGTTTATGCTGAAAAAGTTTTCTTTGGAGAATTTGGTTTTCTGGAAATGTAATTCGCGGGCACACTCAAATAGTTTTCGAATTACATAGGTCATATTATCGTCAATAATACATCATATTAAAGTAACCATACATAATGAAACTTAATCTAACCTAACCTATCCTAACTTTAACCTAATTTATCCATGGATAGACAGTAGGTAATAGCACAAATTATGTAGTAGTTCCCAATCCATTCCCTTGAGCGGATCTCCTCCCTGAGGACAGGGTGTCAGCAGCGCCAAACCGTCTTATTCATGACTTCATTTTATTTTCTATTTTATTTTATTTGACTCTATTTTCCCTATTAATCTGTATATCTCTCCCCTCACAGGACATACCCTGACCCCCCTCTCTCTCTCCCCTCACAGGACATACCCTGACCCCCCTCTCTCTCTCCCCTCACAGGACATACCCTGACCCCCCCTCTCTCTCTCCCCTCACAGGACATACCCTGACCCCCCTCTCTCTCTCCCCTCACAGGACATACCCTCAACGAACAGCTCTCGTGGTTCAATGACGTAGTCAGAAAAAACGACAACACCCAAATTGTTTTGGAGGGTCTCCCGAGAACCCCCAACAGACACGCACAGAACAGGTTCTTCCAGCTGGGTGTTGGGCGGGTGAGTAGCGTTGGTGGTGGTGATGGTGTGGTGATAGTGTGGTGGTGGTGGTGGTGGTGGTGGTGGTGGTGGTGGTGGTGATGATGATGGTGGTGGTGGTGATGATGATGGTGGTGGTGGTGGTGAGGGATGTGGTGAGGTAGTGGTGCATTTACCTATCAATGTCTCCAGGAGAGTGAGGTCTATAGCTCTTTATGCCCCGCCTACTAGCCTTGTTGTACCTGTTGCGTTTCAATTTAACTATTCTGATTTTCAAATTTTTTGTCGAATCCGTCCTGAAAGTTGTGGATGGAAGTGGTTTCCACAACTTCCTCTTTTAGAGCATTCCATTAACTCCCCGTACAGGGCACGAGTACTTTCTTACGTCCCTTCGGCTCATCTGCGTTTCCAGCCTCCACCTATGTCCTCTTGTCCTGCTTGTCCAATCATTTGGGCTGGACGATAGAGCGACGGTCTCGCTTCATGCAGGTCGACGTTCAATCCCCGACTGTCCACAAGTGGTTAGGCACCATTCCTTTCCCCCGTCCCATCCCAAATCCTTATCCTGATCCCTTCCCAGTGCTATATAGTCGTAATGGCTTGGAGTTCCCCCCCCCCCTGATAGTTCCCTTCCCTTTTTGCCCTGCTTTCTCTTAGTAGAGGCTATCCTTGTCCACCTTATCTATTCCCCTCAGTATCTTGCATGTTGTGATCATATTCCTTCTGTTTTTTCTATCCTCTTCGGTTGAGAGAGATTTAGTTCCATTAGCTTATCTTTATAGAGTATCTCTCTTAGCTCTGGCACCAATCTTGTTACAAACTTTTGTACTTTTTCATCTTTAACTTTGTGCTTCGCAAAGTACGAAGTCCATGCCGGAGATGCATATTCCAGTATTGGTCTGGCAAATGTTGTGTAGCTTGTCTTAAAGGAGTCTTGATTTAGATTTCTAGACGATGTTTTTATATTTGCCAGCGTCTCATATGCTACCTATGTTATCCTGTTAATATGTGTCTCTGGTGTTAGTGTCGGAATTATAGCCACTTCCAAATCCTCCTCTTTTTTTCCAATTCCAATGTCTTCCCCTTTTGGTGTAGATGCCTTCAGCTCTCCTCTCTTCCTTTCCCATCTTCATTATCTTACATTTGTTGGGATTGAATTCCAGCAACCCCTTGTTTGACCACTCCTGGAGTCTGTCAAGATTCTCCTGTAACTTCCTGCAGTCCTCATCTGTTTTCACGTTCTTCAACAGCTTTGCATCATCTGCACACATTGGCATGTCTGAGCTCACTCCCTGAGATTGGTCATTAACATAAATTAGAAACAGCCGTGGTCCGAGGACAGAGCCTTGTGGGACCCAACTTGTTACATTCCTCCAGCTTGAAATTTCCTCCCTGACTGTGACTCTTTTGTTTTCTATCCTTCAGATACTCCTTTATAAAGTTCATTGTTTTCCTAGTTATCCCAGCCTGCTTATCCATTTTGTACAGCAATCTTTCAATGGGAACAGTGCCAAATGCTTTTTGACAGTCTAGAAAATTACATTCTACTTAATCTTCCATTTCGTGTATTATTTTAGTAACCTGGTCATTAAACTCAATCATGTCTTTCAGGCATGACTTTCTATTTTTAAATCCAGACTGATTTTTCATCACATAGTTGGTTTTCTTGAAATGATCCATCATTCTCGACGTGATAATCTTCTCCAGCACTTTACACAGAATACTTGTTAATGACATTGGTCTATAGTTTAGTGCCTCCTTCCTATCTCCCTTTTGAATATTGGGATTAATTTTGCCTTTTTCCAGACATCTGGCAGATTTCTGGTCTCGAGCAGTTTATTAAAAAATGTTAAAAAGAGGTGACAGAGTGCAGCCATTGTGAGATATTGTCTGGCCCAATTACTTTCGTCACACCTAGTTCCAACAGGATTTTTCTCACCTCTTCTACAGCGATTACAATGGCATCCAGTATTTCCTCCAGCCTTTCATCTTGCAAAATCTTGATCTCAACATTGGATTTAATGTAAAAACCTCCTAAAATCTTTCGTTGAGTTCCAAACCCACAAACCTCATTATAATTTTCTGTCAGAGCTCCCCCTTGTTTCTTAAATGTGAGCACATGTCTTGCACTTTTGTTTTTCTCTTTTAATGGCTATATAACAGCTTTGCTTGTTCTTTAGCTTTTGCAAGACTGTCCATTGTTACTTGCTGGTGGACTGTATGCATTTATGATTATCAGTTTATCAACCTGATCACAAATCTCTAGTATCATTATGCCATCTTCTCATGTGTTGTCGGGTATTAATTCTCTTACCTTCAGGTGTTCTTTCACCAACCCAGTAGCTGCTCCATCTTTTCTAACTTCTCTGTTCCGTCTCCAAACTGAGTAGCTTCTCGGAAACAACCTTATCCAAAATATTATCCTTGAGTTTCGTCTCTGCTAGTGCAACAATCTCTGGCATATTAAGCTGCATTATATCATTTAGCTCAAGTATTTTTTTATCTCATTTCATCTTAGTATATACAATTTTCAGGAACATGCTTCCACTCCCTTTGTCCCTTATTCCCCCTTTCTCTAATCAGTTTGAGGGTTTAAATGTTTTTATGCACCATTTTGCGGGTTTCCCGATCCTGTCACTGTTGAAAAAAAAATTCTTTCTTCTTCATTTCTACTCTCGTTTAATGTTTTGCTTCCTTAAGGTAAAGTTTTAGCTTCTCTGTATTTTAGAAAGTTTTTCATCTTCATCATTTAGGCATTTCCTGGCATTCCTAAGCACTTCTGACATTTGTTTCACTCCACTGAATATCACGTTTGGGGTGATTCTTATAATTTGTGTTTATCCTCCTAGAACCTCTTGACATTTTCCTTTAACCTTTTCTGCTGCTCTGTCCTCTCTAGATGGCATCTTTTACAAACACCCAAAAATTATTGTAGACTTGCTTCTATTTGCAGTGTTTTGCACGAATTTACTGCTGGTACAGTTCTTTCCTAATTTCTTGCCTAATATCTGTTTTTTACTGTTAATTTATGTTTTTAACTTCCAAATATACTTCTTTGATTGTTTCTTTCTCTTTTACATTTGTTACACCTGTGCATTTGTTTGTTTCACTTCCTTTCTACACTTTTCCAATCCTTTATTAAGCTCTTCAAGTTGAGTTGCTGACATGGTTTCACTTAGCATGCCCTTGCATAATTTTTTATTTTAGCTGGTCACAGCCCCTGTTGGTGTAGTGGCCACGCACTCTCCCTGTGCTTCGCGAGCGATTTGGTCTAGGTTCGTATCTTGACCAGAGAGGATTGACTAGGCGCCAGTTCTTAACTGTAGCCTTCTGTTCACCCAGCAGTGACTGGATACCAGGTCGTTAAACAAGTGGCAGGTCGTATTCTAGGGAAACTATGGAAAGGGAAAGCTCTCGGTCTGCTAACACGCGTCAACAATCGTCTCTTCCTGTCCTCACCTGTGTAAAAGCAAATGATGAACCAAGATCTGTTCCAAATTTATCTATTTCCATATTAACTTCTTCAAATTCGTCCCCTTTTACTTTCCACGTGTCATATTGCTTCTCTAGTCCTGTGATTTGTGGTTTGTTCTTATCCTGCTGAAAAAAACTTTCTCTTAAAGTAATTATTCCACTTTTCAGGCCTCCATTTTCTTGTTCTAATTAAAAAAAAAATCCTACATAATTCTTTAGCAAATCCTCAGTCATGACTTGCCTGCTAAGATTATCATCCTTTATTATCTCTTACACCGTGAAGCCCTTCATACTTCCACCTGTTGATGTGTTACCCTTCCCTGAGGCGGCGGCCATCTTTGGTGTTTACTCACTCAATTGCGCTTGCGGGGGTTGAGCTTTGGCTCATTGGTCCGGCCTAAGTGTGTGTGTGTGTGTGTGTGTGTATGTGTGTGTGTGTGTGTGTGTGTGTGTGTGTGTGTGTGTGTGTGTGTGTGTGTGTGTGTGTGTGATTGTGGGTATCATTGTGAAATTTGCTTCCCTGTGAGTGGTTTCAAAAAATCTTTTCCTCTCCTTTTGGATGCACTGCGGTTAATGTGTCTCCCCGTCCGCAGCCCGACACGCCCTTCCAGCAGTGTGTGACGCCAAAGTTCGAGCTGGGTCATTGTCGCTACCTGCAACACTGCATTTTACCGGAGTTTGCACAGAATTTCCAAGTCTTCCTGCAGTATGTGTGCTTCATTGAGGGCGTGTGAGTATCCAACACATACATAACGTTATATAATTTTTATTTAAAAAAGTATGGGAAGAATTTAAAAAGTAAAAGAAGTATGGGACAAAACTTTAAGTAGGTTAAGGGCCTTAGAGCATTCAACACGGAGGTAAGAGAAATGGGGCGACCAAGACAAACGAGTGTCAAAGAATAACCCCAAAAGCTTCGCGGAATCTTTGTACTCAAGGGGATGACCATAAAGTGACAAAGAGGGACGAATAACGACCCACTTCCGAGTAAAAGTCATGGCACAAGTCTTAGTAGCAGAGAACTTGAAGCCATGATTGGTGGCCCAAGATGACACGGCATCAATCGCAAGTTGAAGCCCCTGTTGAAGGAGAGGCGAATCATCACCTCGACAGCAAAGAGTAAGATCGTCAACATAAAGAGCGGATAAGATGCCTGAAGGAAGGGAGGAAAGAAGACCATTGAGGGCAACCAGAAAAAGAGTAGTGCTCAGAACACTACCTTGGGGTACACCTTCATACTGCTGAAAAGAGGCAGAGAGAGTGGTACCAAGCCTGACTCGAAAGGTACGACGAGAGAGAAAGCTTTAAAGGAAGAGAGGGAGATTACTACAAAGGCCAAAAGAACGAAGTTGAGACAGAATATGGTGTCTCCAGGTTGTGTCATTAGCCTTTTCCAGGTCAAAAAGGACGGCAACAACGGAGGTCTTCGCAGCAAAAGCAGTACGAATATAGACCTCCCAGTTCACCAGGACATCAGTCGTGCTGCGGCACTTGCGAAAACCAAATTGAGAAGGAGAGAGATGGTGATGGTGTTCCAAGAACCACATAAGACGGACATTTACCATATGCTCAAAGAGCTTGCAGACACAACTCGTGAGAGTAATAGGGCAAAAGTCCTTAGGGGACGGACCGAGAGACCCTGGTTTCCGAATAGGGAGTACAACGGCATCAAGCCAGTCCTCAGGGACGGACGACGACTCCCAGACCTGGTTATACAGACCCAGTAAATACCGAGACGTGCACAGAGGGAGATGGTGAAGCATCTCATAATGAACGTCATCCGAGCCCGCTGCCGTAGATGTGCAGAGGACCAGGGCAGACTGAAGTTCAGAAAGTTCGTTATAGGGAAGGGGGAGATGAGTGTGGAAATCTAAAGGATAAGATTCAAGAACAGGCTTACGAAGAAGGAAGGATGGAGGAAGATGAGTACCAGAGCTAACAGTAGAAAAGTGAGAGTACCACGGAGGTGGCCAGAAGAGTACCACGTAGGTGGAGAACCGGTGAGACATCTGGAACGAACTTGCCCGCAATCTTGCTGATCTTCTTCCAGATCTGCGGCAGAGGAGTATTGAATGTAATGGTTGAAACATAAGATTTCCAACTCTCACGTTTAGCTGGTCCTACGGACCACCGCACTTGCCTTCTGAAACAAAATAAAAGAATCAGCCATCTGCCGGCGGCGGTGTTTCTTCCAGGCTGCACGCTTACAGCGGACAGCCCGAGCACAGTCCGCATTCCACCAGGGAATGCACTTCCGCGTGCCCCGGGAGGAAGAGCGAGGAATAGAGTGAAGGGCAGCGTCGAAGACAGTGTTGTAAAAAAGGAGGGCGCGAGGAAGAGGCAGAGAGGAGAGGTCAGAGAGAGTAGCACGGAGGGTAAATAGGCACCAGTCAGCCTTGGCAAACTGCCACCTAGGGAAGGAGAGGGGAGGGGAGGGTGGAAAGAGAAAAAGGAAACGAGGATGGGGAAATGATCACTGTTATGGAGGTCATCAAGAACCTGGCATGTGAAATCTAAGTAAAGGGACGACGAGCAGAGAGAAAGATCAAGACAGGAAAGGGTGCGAGTCCGAGAAAGGGTGCGAGTCACCAGAATTCAGAAGAGATAGAGAAGAAGCGAGGATGAACAGTTCAAGAAGGCGGCCTCGGGTGTTTGTCAGAACATCACCCCAGAGGGAATGTCGACAGTTGAAATCACCCAAAAAGAGCAGCGGCTCTGGCAAGGAGTCCAGAAGGTGCTTAAGATCAAGAAGGGAAAGCAGGACATTTGGAGGGAGATAAATGGAACAGACTGTATACCATTTACTCACAAAAACAAGGGCAGCAGAACAATGGATAGGTGATGGAAGAAGTAGGGGGACGAAGGTAATATCAGATCGAATTAAGAGAGCAGTTGAGTTACGGGCCCCAGCAAGAGCTGGGGGAGGGGGGAGGGAGAAAGAAAGGAATAACCACGAAAGTGACCAGGACGAGCACCAAGCATTGGTTCCTGGAGACAAACACAAAGTGGTGTAAACTGTGTAATTAGAAGTTGGAGTTCATGGAAGTTGGCATAAAATCCACGAATATTCCACTGAAGAATAGACATTACCAAAGAGAAAGGACAGTAACAGAGAACAATAAAAAACAAAGGTAAAGAAGAACACAGTTTATTAAAGAATCTCAGGATCAGGGTTAGGCTCAGGAGTAGGGTCAGCAAAATCAGGGTTAGGGGGCATGGGTAAACTTAGTAAGGATGGAGGGAAGGGAACGGGAGGACAGACCAGAGGCGGACTGACGGGGTCCGGAGGAGGAGGAGACAACTGAGAGGGGCAGTCAAGGACAACTTGAGGAGGATGGGGGGGGGGGTAGAAATCAAGGAGCGCTCCTCAGCAAAGGCAGCAACCGAGACGGAATCGGGGGCGAAAGAAACCTCCATATCTGGGACAGGGGGGCCTGACCACTGAAATGGGAGGGGACGTAGTGATAGAGTCAGAGGGAGGGGGCGAGGAAGTAAGCGATATATTCTTACCTGCTATGGTAAGAAGGAGAAGAGCCAGGCTTACTTTCTGACTCGAAGTGACAGGCGTTCCAGTAACAACGTACCGGGCGACAGACTCAATGGTCTCAGCAGAAGAGGAACGTGAGCGAACAACACGAAGATTGCTGGGAGGATGATGGACATCAGCCTAGACAGACAGGCGGTGTGAAGGGACAAGAGACTGGGGGGAGGGTTGGGAAGAAAGAGGAGGGGGGGAGATGGGAAAGAAAACATAGAAGATATGGTGGAGTGGGCACGAAGGGGGGGGGGGAACACCAGGAGGAGAACCAGGAGGGAGACCTTTCGGGACAGGACGCAAAGGAATAGGGGAGGAGGTGGAGGGCGTGTTCGGGTCTAAGGCCTGGAAACGGTTGTGAGACTGAGGAAGGTGGGAAGGATGAGGAGAGGTAGAACGCAACACGCGAGCGTAGGAGACGCCCGCGAAAGGGGTGAGACGACGAACCTGGCGTCTCGCTTCAGGAAAAGTCAGATGATCACAGTGTTTCAAGTTGAGAACGGGTTCCTCGAGTTTGTAGTGTATACACGAGCGTGAGAAGGTAGGGTGGGCCTCACCGCAATTGAGGCAGCAAGCCTGGGGAGAAGTGCACTCGGACTTAGAATGACTATCGTCCCCACACATGGGGCACAGATACACAGTACTGGTGCATTTGAGGACACTGTGCCCGAACATTCAACACTTATTGCATAGTCTAGGAGAGGGAATGTACTCCTGAACGGAGCATCTGGCACCAGCAAGAATAATAGAGGGCGGAAGGGCCCCTACTATCAAAGGTGATTTTTACAACTCGAAGGGGCTGACGGCGACGACCACGAGGGGGTCGAGTGAACGTGTCCACCTGGAGGAGAGAATGGCCTTGGGCTTCGAGGATATGTTTAATATCCTCATGGCAATCTTTGAGGTCCCGAACACCAGTTGCAACATGGTGTGGGAGGAGAACAGTGCCAACACTGGCATTTAATCGAGCGTTTTTGGAGACCCGAACAGGGGGTCTCCCCAACGCAGGACAAGGCGGCTAAGTGAGTAGCTGCATCCTGAGAAGGAGCAGCAACGACACGCATACCGTAATTGGTGGGGTTAAAAGTAACAGAGCCATCTACTGAATCAACAAGGTGTTTATGGAGGGAGAAATCGTCAGGAGGAGTAGAATCCAGATGGTGGAGATCAAAGTATTTAGCCCACGTAGTGGGACCAAACAAGTATTGCGTTGTAAGTATTTGTATGGGAAGGGATCGTGCGAGTGCGGCCGTGGCAGGGATGACGTTGAGAACCCCCAGAGAGGGGGTAAAAGGCGCAGTAGTCACAATGAGAGACGGAACCGTGCCAGGGGACGAGGTGGTCACCACTGGGGGCTGGGAACTCTACCCTACCGCAGAGGGAGGGAGGGAGGGAGGGAGGGGAGTTGAGGGGAGTAGTCAGGAAGGTCAAAGGAGGAGCAAGGTCGGGGTCCAATGCAGCGGGGCTACAGGGCCTGTTCTTCCAACACAGTCCAACTCAGGAGCTTGGTCGCCCACCCCACGAGCCTGAGAAGGTACAAGGAAAACATTATCTGCCATGAAAACGAGGAAAGACTTTCATTCACGAATGTGCCCCCCACACCCACCATGGAGCCACAGTTAGAGGCAGGACACCCAACAAGAAGCTATCGCCGATCATGCCGGGGCCCCCCAGGGGTGTGTTGTGAGTATACGCCCCACAAACGCCACCTTAAGAACCGTCAGTCCATCGAGATCGGGTTCAGTGATGAAAGGGGGATTGACAATAAAAGAGTCCCCTCGTTCGAGACGTCGGGTACTACAGTTCTACGGGTGCAAGAGTATGCCTCCCCAAACACCCGGACGTCAAAATAAAAGAAGGCCGAAAGAAGAATCAAAACAGGCAAAAGGTCGGCGGGGAATGACAATGAGAAAGGAGAAGAGGGGGGAGAAAAACGAAACAGAAAGGAAAAGGCGTCCAGCAAAATTTGTGAGGACAGCAGCAGGAGTACAAGGCTACAAAAGGACAGGGGACCGCCCCAAAAAGTATCACACTCCGGCAGCTGCCCACCAAGCCCCCTCACGGCAGCAACAAGCTGGACAGGGAGGGGGGAGACTGGTGGTAGTCGTAGGCTGGTGGTAGTTGTAGTATGGTGATAGTTCGTGTCTGCTCCTGAGTGTTGCTTCCTGTGCCAAAGTTTTCTTGTTTCATAAGTTACACAGTAGATTTGTATATGATGTGTCATTAATATAAATGTTCATTGTGACCAGGAAGACACAGAACTTTAATCATTATCAACACTTGGCAACAGGTTATAAAGGGATTCGTCTCACTTTATCTCTCCACTGTGACAGGTATGTGGGTGCTTGCTGTCCCACCAGCGTCAACAGCAACGGGGTGACGACGCCCCCACCACCGCCCCCAACCCCCGCCCCAACACCTCGCCCCACCACCCCTCCAAGCGAGTCTAGAGGTAAGTAACCTCATCACCGACGTTTCCAGAGAGGGCTTACTTGGGTGACACGGCTCATCCGTAGACTGATGAAGGCTCTGTTGTGATGCTGAAGTTCATCATAACATTACTTCGTCTTCTTTGAGAGTCACATTCGCCCACAACCAGCCTGAAGGCCTGCTAGAGTTTATGTTATTTATGTTAGAATGTATAAACTTATGGTTGAAGTTGCTGTCTAGGTGCATCTATTTTTAAGTATTATTTCAGTCATATAGAGCCAGGTCTATCTCAGACGTCACATCCATCGACAACACACTACAGATCACGTTACCTTGTGTAACCCATGGGAGGAGACCTATGCTGTCAGTCTCAGTGAGACTGTCCCATATTGTGCCCCGACTCGTCATTACCCGTTTGATGTAATGGAGTGAGAGTGCTTGACCTTGTTACTCAGGTCAGTTGAACCTCAGAATGTGCGAAGCCTCGTACATGAGATCCAGCCCGTCCTCGTAAACAAGGCTCAAAGTCCATTCCATGCACCCGCCAAACCCCCTGTTTATGAATGAAAAATGGTTTACACACGACTCACAACTGATGACGTTCGAACACTTCCGGAACAAGTGCTTCACTGACGACTTATGTTCGAACCACAACGCTGTAAATGCTTCACCCACGTACTACAAATACAAATAATTGCCAAAAAAAACTAAACACCTAACATAACCTAACCAGTGCCTAAATATGCACAATATGCTAATATATATAACAATATTAAATTATATTTGAGAAAATTTCTATTTTGAATGAAGAGCATGTTGAAATTGATGAATGCGTCTTTGGGGTCGACCAGTGGATGGAATGGACTTGGTCTGAGAATGGATTGAGAGATTGTCTCATTATAATGCAGGAGTACCAGAAGACCCACTCTTAAACATTCCTGATTGAAAGTTTCAAGAATTTGATGAAAAACTGACAAGAAAGCCGAGAGTGCTCTGCTTTGTAACACAAAGTTACGAGTCTGTGACCGTGGGCTGTGTTGACACTGTCAGTGAGCCGCACTCTGCTCATTTATGGAATCAACAGCAATTCACCCAGAAGCTACCTGCAGGACCAGCGTGGATTATTTGTAAAGAACTGCATTACTCAAGCCTGGAAACCAGCCATGTGAGCAATAAGGTAAGTTGCACTCAGTTTGGTGGGGGAAGTCTTAACAAGATGATATGGAAGTGGTCGCTGTTATAGAGGTCGTTAACGACCATTCAAACCATGTCAGTGTAAATGGAAGAAATGGAGAGACAGATCAGTACAGGAAGAAGTGTGGACGAGTCAAGAGCGCCAGTATTGAACAGCGACGAAGACAAAGAAAGGAGGAAGGACTCTGAAAGACAGCCAGGGGTATTAATAACAGAATCTCTCCATAGGGTATATTTATTGTTAAAATTATTTGTAAGGAGTAAAGGCACAGGTAAAAGTTATAAAAGAAGATTAAAATAAAAAAAGAGATCGAAGACAGGAAAAATAGACGGAAAAAAGACAAATCTATTTATTCATGTATATATAATGAGCAGCAGTGGAATATAAGGGAGAGAAAGATAACATCATTCCTGATTAAAACAGCAATGGTGCTACGACGACCATTAAATTTGCGAGGCAATGTTTAAAAGGAATAATAATGGAAGTGACCAGAATGAGCGCTGAGCAACGGTTCCTGGGACACACACAACAGGATAACTTGAAGATTAAAAGCTGAAGTTCAGAGAACTTCAGATAAGTTAGATATATTCCTATGAATAACTGACATGTTGGAAGAGAAAGGAAATTGAGAGAGACAAAGGGTTTACAGCAAAGGAACGAGGAGGTAAAATAATAGAAGCAGTTAAGCTCGAGATTTGCGAAATCAGGGTCTAGTGGGACAGGTAAATCAAGTCTTGAAGACTGGCATGGTAGGAGTGGGGAAGAGAGCTCAGTCATGGTCTCAGTGGAGGGAGTAGGCAGAGGTACACGGGCCTCAGGTTAGAGGCGCTGCTCCAGACTCTGGAACGCTGGAACAAGAACGTTCATGCTCGAAGAATCAGAAACCGAGGACTTTGGGTAAAAAAGATTACGATGGAGCTGGTTTGCACATTTGGGAGGTTGTGATGTAATTCACGATATCCGCTGGAGTTTCGGCCTAAGAAGAATGAATGTTGAGGTGACGGGGAGGGAAGAGGAAGTCAGCTTCAACCATGAGGGTGGTAAGCGTGCCAAGCGATAGAGAAAAGGATAGAAGAGCAAAGTGTAAATGGAACCTGTAGGGGCCAGCAACAGCAATGGTATCGCTGAGAGAACAACCTGTCCTCCTACAAAGACCGTCGCTTTTCGCTTGCATGTATTACATGAGGCTAAATTGTCGTACTAGAAAATGGAAGCGGCTCGCAAAAGTGACATACTCTCCTCCTTTCTGTTTTGGGTCCTCTGGTTGGTTAGGAAAAGACACTTTAAATTAACAGTTTTCTTGACGTTGGGAAAACTTAGGACAACGGGCTGGAGAAAGAAGGGAGCAGGGGACGCGGGTCCGATAATGGATCAAGGCCTTAGGAGGGTAGACTGTGAGGGACGTGGCTGTGGAGAGGGCAGTACTGGGCAGCAGACTGTTGAAGGGTCGGAAAATGAAGAGCATCTTTCGAGGTCTCTGATGCGAGGACATGGAAACGATTCTGGAACTATGGACAGGGAGGAGAGGTCGAGCGCTCTGCAAGAAGCGCAAGCTATGTCACGTCAATGAAGATTCCCAAACGCCGCAACTGGCACCTTGCCTCCGCAAAAAAGAGTTTGTTGCCATTGTGCTTGAAATGCAGAACGGACTTCTTCCTTTCAGAGTGTGCACAGGTTTGCGAGAATGCAGAGTGGTCTACAGCAATTAATGCATCGAACTGATAGGGTTCCAAAGGACCCTACCTTCCAAGAGAAAGTTTAAAACTAAGAATGTTAAGACATAGAAACAGGCAAACACTAGCTTAAAAACTGGGTTACAGAACTCGGAAATGAGTTATAAAAGGTTATAGAAGCATATTCTCTAGAAAGCATCAAGCAGCTGCGAGAAAAATATAATAGTTGTAGTTTAATATAAATACAAGTTGCCATACATGGGCTAATACGCCTTCTGCAGCTACCGTTATAAAGTTCGTAAAACCATTTAACTAGTCCAGCAAGACTATATTAACGTTATTGGTTCATCTTGACAGGTTGTGGGCTTGTGGCCAAGAAGCCTCTGACGCGCATCGTGGGTGGGACTCCATCCGACCCCCGGGAGTGGCCTTGGGTGGCCGCCCTAATGAGGCAGAACACCAGTCAGTATTGTGGGGGAGTCCTGATTACCGACAAGCACGTCCTGACTGCTGCCCACTGTGTCCGCGGGTAAGTCTGCTTAGAGAATCATTTATGGTTAACAACCCACTTGGGCATGGTTCATATCTTTGTTTATCAAACACACACACATGGTAGAGAGTCCGGCCAAATAAATACTTTTCCGCCGCCAGATTTGACCAGAACACGATCTCTGTCCGTCTGGGAGAGTATGACTTCAAGCAGATCAGTGCAGGAGCCCAGACCTTCGGGGTGCTGAAGATCAAGGAGCATGAGGCCTACGACACCACCACCTACGTCAACGATCTCGCGCTCATCACCCTAGAGAAGAGCACAGAGTTCAATGCTGACATCTGGCCCATCTGTCTGCCGGAGGGTGACGAGGACTATGTCGATAGGCAGGGCACTGTCGTCGGTAAGTCAATCTTGTTTACCTAACCTATCTATACACTGATATCTAGGCTCCAATTTGCATTTTGATGCATTTTGACGTGTACCCTACCTAAGGCCAAAAATCGTCGTACTAGAAAATAGTAGCGGCTCGCCAAATTGACATACTGTCCCGTTTTCTGTTAAGTAAGGAGAAGGCACTTTAGTATGACAGTTTCTTTACGTTGGAAAACTCTAGGAGGGCGGACTGGGTGAATAGTCCTAGATGACTTGTGTATTACATTATTTCAATCCTGGCCACTTGGTGACACATGGGACCTCCTGTGTACGTGCGACGATGCTACGTTTCAATGGCGTGTGTGTGGCGTGTGATGGGATGAATCGCTGTCATCATCATCGTCGTTCTGTCTGAGCGTCATGTGGCCACAAGTTGTTCCTGGGTCTGCCAAAGTGTCGGCTACAGTCCATGGCCGGATGTTCTTCAAGTTTTTGCAGCTCTGAGTTTGTGTTCCCCAAAGATACCAAATGTTATTGATTTACCTTCAGCATCTGGACACCTTGGACATCTTCAAGAGAAAATTAGATAATTTTCTCTAAGGAGTGCTGGACCAACCGGCTGTGGTGGATATGTGGGCCTGCGGTTCACTCCAAGCAACAGCTTAGTGGACCAAGCTCTTACAAATCAAGCCTGGCCTCGGGCCTGGGCTTGGGAAAGTAGAAGAACTCCCAGAACCTCATCAAGCAGGTATCTACTAGATAGTGTGAGAACATCGATAACACATTATACCTCTAGCCAATTTAGAAGAAACTCCTGGAGTGTTCAACAAATCCTACGTCGGAGCCGTGTTTATGTCGACTTTAAACATGATGCAAGATTGTAAGGGGTATGTGAAAGAACATTAGCTCAGAAAGGCACAAAGGTTTGTTCGAACGCTATTATGTAAACCACAAGTCTAGTATGGTATACATTTTAGCGCCCGTTGGTCCAACGCGAACAAATATGTTATTGATTTAGGGGAGACGACCATTGGCTCAGATGCGCCCCGGCGTACCCGAGAAGGGTTAATTCCGAAGCCTAATAGCGAAATGCATGTCACTAATCAGCGGAAACTAATGTGCCTCACGACAAATAAACGCACAGTCAGGCAGATGATTGGGGAGCCCCAGGAGTCCCTCAGGGTGACAAGCACCGGCCCCGCCCCACACACAGAACTTTGGGTAGCAAAACCAAAACTCGGCCCCCAACCAAAACGCAAAAATCATCCAGTGTCCTCCGGCAGAGCAGAAGCCGGCCGCCCACCACGACTGAGGGCACACCAGGATCCCACCAAGACCCGCCAACCCCCGGCACCTCTCAGCCAAACCGGCCCCGGAACACCGTCACCCCGCCGGGAGAACCAGCCAGAACACGCTAAAAAAAAATCTATCAACAATCCCGGGACCCAAGGCGATATGTGCGCCAAGTGTCGTACAATCGGACTGATGAAAAGGGATGCCAAACGGCAGTAACAAAGCCAAAACGCGAAAAAAAGACGTGATCAGGCGGCTCCCAGGCGGAGGAGGTATCCAGACGTCCGCTCGACGTCAAGGTTGAACCAGGAGTCTGCGATCAAATATCATGGTGTCTCCTGCCTGTGTTGGCAGTCGGTTACTCAACTATTGCCAAGCCGGTCGCCGACTCTTAACAAAAAACGGGATGTTACCTATCTTTATACGTAATTCATAATTAATTATGATTACTCTAATTATTATGATTAAATAATAATTACTCCTTATTATGAAGCAATTACATCTTTATGTAAGTTAGATGCGCTTCCTGGTGTTGACATACTATAAGATAATTAGTAAGGTGAGAAGTGTATACTAATGATATTCTAACTTAACCATGGCTAGTCGGACATGACGTATTATTTTGCTGATTACAACTAATATCAGAAAGTTCTCGAAGCTCTGGGCTGATGCAATAAAGCATTTGGTCTTTATCAGTGGCCTATGGGTAGAATTTTATTTGACGTTTTAATTTTATTTACTGCCTTAAATTTAATTATTTTCAATAACAGTGGAATGATAATTATCCCATAGTCATGGTTCTGGGACACAATGGCCCCGCGGCCCGGTCTCTGACCAGGCCTCCTGGTTGATAGTTTGGTCAGCCAGGCTGCTAGATGCTGCTGCTCCTCGCAGTCTCATTTTCTTCACAAAATATTTTGTGTATAAATGCGTACAGTAATATTTACACTAATGTGTCACTGTGGTAGCTCTTCCCTGATTGCTGACCCCCCATGGTCCATCCCGTTCATTTTCCCCATTACCATGCTATAGTATGCTCCAGCTCCCCCATTACCATGCCATAGTATGTTCCAGCTCCCCCATTACCATGCCATAGTATGCTCCAGCTCCACCATTACCATGCTATAGTATGCTCCAGCTCCACCATTACCATGCCATAGTATGCTCCAGCTCCACCATTACCATGCTATAGTATGCTCCAGCTCCACCATTACCATGCCATAGTATGCTCCAGCTCCACCATTACCATGCTATAGTATGCTCCAGCTCCACCATTACCATGCCATAGTATGCTCCAGCTCCACCATTACCATGCTATAGTATGCTCCAGCTCCACCATTACCATGCTATAGTATGCTCCAGCTCCCCCATTACCATGCCATAGTATGCTCCAGCTCCACCATTACCATGCTATAGTATGCTCCAGCTCCACCATTACCATGCTATAGTATGCTCCAGCTCCCCCATTACCATGCCATAGTATGCTCCAGCTCCACCATTACCATGCTATAGTATGCTCCAGCTCCCCCATTACCATGCCATAGTATGCTCCAGCTCCCCCATTACCATGCCATAGTATGCTCCAGCTCCCCCATTACCATGCCATAGTATGTTCCAGCTCCCCCATTACCATGCTATAGTATGCTCCAGCTCCCCCATTACCATGCTATAGTATGCTCCAGCTCCACCATTACAATGCTATAGTATGCTCCAGCTCCCCCATCACCATGCTATAGTATGCTCCAGCTCCCCCATCACCATGCTATAGCTCACCCCATCCTCTTGATCATGCTGTTCCCTCACCACGACCCAGTGAAGGAGGGAGGAAATACTCTTAACTTCTCTATCTTTTGAGATGTATTTTATTGTCTCAATAAACGTACTTCACCTTGACCCAGCTATTCCCTCACTACGACCCAGCTATTCCCTCACCACGACCCAGCTATTCCCTCACCACGACCCAGCTATTCCCTCACCACGACCCAGCTATTCCCTCACCACGACCCAGCTATTCCCTCACCACGACCCAGCTATTCCCTCACCACGACCCAGCTATTCCCTCACCACGACCCAGCTATTCTCTCACCACGACCCAGCTATTCCCTCACCACGACCCAGCTATTCCCTCACTACGACCCAGCTATTCTCTCACCACGACCCAGCTATTCCCTCACCACGACCCAGCTATTCCCTCACTACGACCCAGCTATTCCCTCACCACGACCCAGCTATTCCCTCACCACGGCCCAGCTATTCTCTCACCACGACCCAGCTATTCTCTCACCACGACCCAGCTATTCTCTCACCACGACCCAGCTATTCCCTCACCACGACCCAGCTATTCTCTCACCACGACCCAGCTATTCCCTCACCACGACCCAGCTATTCCCTCACCACGACCCAGCTATTCCCTCACCACGACCCAGCTATTATCTCACCACGACCCAGCTATTCCCTCACCACGACCCAGCTATTCCCTCACCACGACCCAGCTATTCCCTCACCACGACCCAGCTATTCCCTCACCACGACCCAGCTATTCCCTCACCACGACCCAGCTATTCCCTCACCACGACCCAGCTATTCCCTCACCACGACCCAGCTATTCCCTCACTACGACCCAGCTATTCCCTCACCACGACCCAGCTATTCCCTCACCACGACCCAGCTGTTCCTTTGTCACAGTTCTGTGATAGTTGATACTCAGTGTAAACCTACCACTATACAGTGCTCCAGGGCTGCTTCATTCATTCCATACATACAGTCTAGTAAGCCCTCCAGATGAGATGGGGTCAAGGCCCGGTCCCTAGAGAAAGTACTCCCACAAATTGACCTATTCTAGGGTAAGATAGAGCCCTCCACACTGGTCACAAGGAATAACTAGTATATATAATCAAATCAATATGGGCCTTGATCAGGGTTTGAACCTTTGCGTCGAGTGTTCCCAGACGCACCTTAAGGCCCTTGTGGATTTGTTCCTTTGATGTATCAAGTTATGGTGATTTCTGTATATAACTAGTATACATATATACTTTATGGTTTATTACTCACAGAGCCCATTCCCAGTATAAAACCCCCCTGGCACTGCCTCTTGACATGAACTTTATGATCACAAACCCCCTGGGACAGGGATAAGGGCTTATAAACCCCTGGGACAGGGATAAAGGCTCACAATCCCCCTGGGACAGGGATAAAGGCTCACAAACCCCCTGGGACAGGGATAAAGGCTCACAAACCCCCTGGAATAGGGATAAAGGCTCACAAACCCCCTGGAATAGGGATAAAGGCTCAAAAACCCTCTGGGACAGGGATAAAGGCACACAAACCCCCCTGGGACAAGGATAAAGGCTCACAACCCTCCCCCCCCTAGGACAGGGATAAAGGCTCACAATCCCCCTGGGACAGGGATAAAGGCTCACAGACGAAACACTCCAGGATGGACCCAAAAAACCTCTGAAGGAGATACAGCTGGAATATCCCGTAACCTCCACAGACAAGAAAATCCTCTCTAGACTCACTCCCACAAACACAACAACAGTGGAGCAAGCCTAGAGTTGCATGCAGTAAGAAGTGACCAATACTTCAATACATAAGGACTTATCTGAGGCAAACTCCCAAGATTCAACACAAATGACTGGCCACCATCCAGTTCTGTTACCAATTTAATCCACATTCCCACGATGCCTCAGAGTAGCCCAACTGATCCTGCAGAAACAGTTTGCTCTGACTCATTTGACTACCACCAGTTTCTTTCATTGTCAGACCATATATACTGTACCCTTCTGGCTGTTTATTCATTCACTAACTTACACATTATCTTTTCTTAAAACTCGGCAGGAGTTTACATGGCAATAATCACTTATACGTCTGGCAGCAATGCAGGTTTAACTGCTTCCATACTCAATGTATTCACTTTATCTATTTGCAACATTATCATATTTCACTATCAAGACCCAACCTGTCATAATATCCTTCACCGTGACTTATTATGACACAGCGGTTCCCTCACCATGCCGCAGCTGTCTCCTCACCATGTCCCAGCTGTCTCCTCACCATGACCACTCATGTACCAGGTGTTCCCTCGTCATGTCCCAGCTGTCTCCTCACCATGACCACTCATGTACCAGGTGTTCCCTCACCATGACCCCTCATGTTCCCCTACAGGCTGGGGGACCATCTACTACGGGGGTCCGGTGTCCAGCGTGCTGATGGAGGTGTCTATTCCCATCTGGACCAACAGTGACTGTGATAACGCCTACGAGCAGGACATTATTGACAAGCAGCTCTGTGCCGGGGACAAGGCAGGGGGCAAGGATTCCTGTCAGGTATGTTGTGGTTGTGTGGTGTTGAATGTGTGGTATGTTGTGGTAGTGTGGTTGTGTGGTGGTGACTGTGTGGTATGTTGTGGTAGTGTGGTTGTGTGGTGGTGACTGTGTGGCGTGTTGTGGTAGTGTGGTTGTGTTGTGGTAGTGTGGTTGTGTGGTGGTGAATGTGGTTTTGGGCGCCCTTCATGTCTTTGACTCATGCCAGAACATGGAGTCAGACACCACCTAGTTTTCAAAGCAACGTTATAGGCAATGACCTGTTTCACTAGCATTGTATACCTAGATTGTTGTGGAAGCAGGAGAGGGAGAGCTTGAAGACAGAGTGCGTTTGGATACAATGGAAGGGGGGGGAGGGGAGAGGGACGGAATGGAGTGTGTGGGTCGTAGGCAGAGAAGGTACAGTACCTCTTGGCTGGTCTTGGATAATAACGTCAGTACGTTTGAAAGTAACCTATTCACCGTTCAGATTCTTTAACAAATATAATCTTTATCTTAGTAGTACTTTGAGTACGATGTCACATTTTCTTTAATGATAAATTCATGTAAAGTATATACTGTATACTCTTTCTACTAGTTTTTTACTTTTTTTAATAGTATACTGGCTAGTTAGTCCAAATAACATTCCCCTTGTTTCCCTTCCCTGGTTTAATAATGTCAAATCATCCTCCGCGAGTTATATAACTACGTGATCAATGTTGAGGTGGTCAACATGTGCAGGAGTTCCCGGGGGCTAGAGGAGAGGAGCGGGTCTCTCCCTGGAGAGCAGGTAACGTGTGTAGTGTGGGTCAGGTCAGGCGCTACTGTACACTGGGGTACGGAGACCTGCGCTCATAATACAGTCACCTGGCTTACATGGAAGGTGGACAGTAGTATTAAAGAATCCACAAGGGTTATAATGACCGTCTAAAGTAGTGTCATAAAGGTCATACGCCACATTGTTACACCGATTTCTATAGGCCAGTTCCTTATTTGATTATTGAGGTGTGGTAGTTGTGTGTGTTCAGTAACACCTGAAAGTGGTATGAAATGCTATACCTGTTGATCCCTTGTCTGGTATAACAATTTCTTGCACTGTATTGTTGCAGGGAGACAGTGGTGGGCCGCTCATGTTGCAGCAGGGAGGTGCCGACAGGTGGGCCGTGGTGGGTGTAGTGTCCTGGGGTATACGCTGTGCTGAGGCTGCCAGCCCCGGAGTTTACACCAGAGTCAGCAAGTATACCGACTGGATCAGAGCAAACCAATAGAGAACCCGAACATTCTACCATTCACTATGGCTAACAAACGGTAACCTTCGGGAGCCACCAACACACTTCCTGATCCAGTGTGGACCAACACAAGCCGCTGTGAAATACCACCACGAGTCAATGATGTCGCAGTATGATAAAGGAACAGTACGTACCTCTACGGTGCCGGTGTGGGGCACAGCGGCCCACGCTCACAAGCTGCACCTCTGTTAGGTGCATACCGCTGGTGACCTGGGACCTCACTACACTCAGTTTAGCTTTGCTTTTCACGAAACAAAAGTTGAATTGCTGTGCCGCCCTGCGCCGATAATGGCTGGCTGAGATTCAACAACCCATCCACATGCTAGGCTCGTCCCATCTGCGACCGATCACAAAGAAGCATTCGTCAGTTTTAACATACTGTGTAACCAAAAACAATTTGTTCTCAAATATAAATTAACATTTAAGCGTATTACAACTGTGTGTATAATAAGACTTAGAAGTGGTTATGTTAGGTGTTTTGGTTCTGCTGCCAATTATTTGTATTTGTATCCCGATGTTAAAGCTTTTAGAGGTGGCATTCGACCCCAGGGAGAGAACGAAACACTGGTCAGAAAAGTTTGAAATTGCTCAGTGTGTGATCGTCCAAACTTTGACTGAACTCTGATCCATTTGTATTTTTTTCTGTGCAATAAAAATAGACTTTTATCAAATATTAATAAATGTTATTATTTATTATATTTTTGGGATAGGTTAGGTATTTTGAATCTGTTATCAATTAATCAACCCGTCCTCGACTCAAGTCTATTACATCCAGCGGTCGCCCCCACAGACGCATTCATAAATTTTAACTTGCTGTTCATTCAAAACAAGAATTTTCTCAAATATAAATTAATATTATAGTATATTAGCATATTGTGCATATATAGGTTAGGTTCGGTTGGCGATTATTTGCATTTGTAGTACGTGGGTGAAGCATTTATAGCGATGTGGTTCGAACAAAACTCGTCAGTGAAGCACTTGTACCGGATGTCTTCGAACGAAATCAGTTGTGAGTCATGTGTAAACCGTTTTTCATTCCTAAACAGGGGGTTTGGCGGGTGGATGGAATCATTTTTGGATCTTTGTTTGGAGGGCAGGCTGCAATTAATTTATATTGAGAACTGAGACAGGTCAAATAACAGATAGTGATGAAGAGATGAGTAGTATTTTTAATAAATATTTTGTATCTGTATTTACTAAAGAGGAACTTAACAATATGCCTTCAGCCGAACAAGTCTATGTGGGTGGGGACGAGGACAGGTTGACGAGTTTAGCAGTTACCAGGGAGGATGTTCTTAAACAAATAGTAAAACTCAAACCAAACAAATCCCCAGGGCCGGATGAAGTGTTTGCCAGGGTGCTTAAAGAATGCAAAGAGGAGCTTTGTGACCCACTGTCAACCATATTTAATAAATCAATAGAGTCAGGCAGAGTGCCAGAGTTTTGGAAAGTTGCTAATGTGATACCAGTTTTTAAGAAAGGAGATAGATCACTTGCGTCTAACTATCGACCAATTAGCCTAACGTCTATTGTGGGAAAGTTACTCGAATCTATAATAGCAAATAAAATTCGTCTTCATCTTGAAAAACATAAATTAATAATTGAGTCGCAACATGGTTTTATAAATGGCCGTTCATGTTTAACAAATTTGTTATCTTTTTATTCCAGCATAGTTGAGGCAGTTGATAGTGGTAAGGATTGTGATGTTGTGTACCTTGACTTTAGCAAAGCTTTTGATACAGTGCCACATGAAAGACTGATTAAAAAGATAGAGGCTCATGGTATTGGGGGTGCTATATTAAACTGGATTAGGGCATGGCTATACCAAAGGAAACAGAGTTAGTATAAATGGAGTCAAGTCAGAGTGGGAAAATGTTGTAAGTGGAGTGCCTCAAGGCTCTGTCCTTGGACCTCTGTTGTTTATAATATATATAAATGATTTAGATTCAGGTTTGAGTAGCAACATTTGCAAATTTGCCGATGATACGAAAATCGGTAGGGAAATTAATTTGGAGGAGGACTTACTATCACTTCAAGTTGATCTAGATAGGGTTTTGAAATGGTCAAAGGATTGGCAGATGCAGTTTAATGCTGATAAATGTAAAGTTCTGAGGTTAGGTAATGATGATAGAGTTACAAGATACGAGCTAGATGGTGTTGAGATTGCGAAGTCGGATTGCGAAAGGGATCTGGGAGTTATGATTAGTAAGAATTTAAAACAAAAGGATCAATGCATAAATGTTCGTAATAAGGCAAATCGGACACTTGGATTTATTAATCGCAGCGTTACTAACAAGACACCTGGTGTGGTTCTCAAGCTATATCTTGCTCTAGTTAGGCCCCATTTAGATTTTGCAGTTCAGTTTTGGTCGTCATATTATAGAATGGATATAAATTCACTTGAACGTGTCCAGCGTAGGATGACTAAGTTAATTCCCCAAATTAGAAATCTTTCATATGAAGAAAGATTAACAAAGCTTAAGTTGCATTCACTGGAAGGCGAAGAGTTAGGGGTGACATGATAGAGGTTTACAAGTGGGTGAATGGACATAACAAAGGGGATATTAATAGGGTATTAAAAGTATCAACACAAGACAGAACACGAAACAATGGGTATAAATTGGATAAGTTTAGATTTAGGAAAGACTTGGGTAAATACTGGTTCAGTAACAGGGTTGTTGATTTGTGGAACCAATTGCCGCGTAACATTGTGGAGGTGGGGTCCCTCGATTGTTTCAAGCATGGGTTGGACATGTATATGAGTGGGATTGGGTGGTTATAAATAGGAGCTGCCTCGTATGGGCCAATAGGCCTTCTGAACATAAGAACATAAGAACAAAGGTAACTGCAGAAGGCCTATTGGCCCATTCGAGGCAGCTCCTATTCTATAACCACCCAATCCCACTCATATACTTGTCCAACCCGTGCTTGAAACAATCGAGGGACCCCACCTCCACAATGTTACGCGGCAATTGGTTCCACAAATCAACAACCCTGTTACTGAACCAGTATTTACCCAAGTCTTTCCTAAATCTAAACTTATCCAATTTATATCCATTGTTTCGTGTTCTGTCCTGTGTTGATACTTTTAATACCCTATTAATATCCCCCGGTTATGTCCATTCATCCACTTGTAAACCTCTATCATGTCACCCCTAACTCTTCGCCTTTCCAGTGAATGCAACTTAAGCTTTGTTAATCTTTCTTCATATGAAAGATTTCTAATTTGGGGAATTAACTTAGTCATCCTACGCTGGACACGTTCAAGTGAATTTATATCCATTCTATAATATGGCGACCAAAACTGAACTGCATAATCTAAATGGGGCCTAACTAGAGCAAGATATAGCTTGAGAACCACACCAGGTGTCTTGTTACTAACGCTGCGATTAATAAATCCAAGTGTCCGATTTGCCTTATTACGAACATTTATGCATTGATCCTTTTGTTTTAAATTCTTACTAATCATAACTCCCAGATCCCTTTCGCAATCCGACTTCGCAATCACAACACCATCTAGCTCGTATCTTGTAACTCTATCATCATTACCTAACCTCAGAACTTTACATTTATCAGCATTAAACTGCATCTGCCAATCCTTTGACCATTTCAAAACCCTATCTAGATCAACTTGAAGTGATAGTGAGTCCTCCTCCGAATTAATTTCCCTACCGATTTTCGTATCATCGGCAAATTTGCAAATGTTGCTACTCAAACCTGAATCTAAATCATTTATATATATTATAAACAACAGAGGTCCCAGGACAGAGCCCTGAGGCACTCCACCTACAACACCTTCCCACTCTGACTTGATTCCATTTATACTAACTCTCTGTTTCCTTTGGTATAGCCATGCCCTAATCCAGCTTAATATAGCACCCCCAATACCATGAGACTCTATCTTTTTAATCAGTCTTTCATGTGGCACTGTATCAAAAGCTTTGCTAAAGTCAAGGTATACAACATCGCAATCCTTACCACTATCAACTGCCTCAACAATGCTAGAATAAAAAGATAACAAATTTGTTAAACATGAACGGCCATTTATAAAACCATGTTGCGACTCAATTATTAATTTATGTTTTTCAAGATGAAGACGAATTTTATTTGCTATTATAGATTCGAGTAACTTTCCCACAATAGACGTTAGGCTAATTGGTCGATAGTTAGACGCAAGTGATCTATCTCCTTTCTTAAAAACTGGTATCACATTAGCAACTTTCCAAAACTCTGGCACTCTGCCTGACTCTATTGATTTATTAAATATGGTTGACAGTGGGTCACAAAGCTCCTCTTTGCATTCTTTAAGCACCCTAGCAAACACTTCATCCGGCCCTGGGGATTTGTTTGGTTTGAGTTTTACTATTTGTTTAAGAACATCCTCCCTGGTAACTGCTAAACTCGTCAACCTGTCCTCGTCCCCACCCACATAGACTTGTTCGGCTGAAGGCATATTGTTAAGTTCCTCTTTAGTAAATACAGATACAAAATATTTATTAAAAATACTACTCATCTCTTCATCACTATCTGTTATTTGACCTGTCTCAGTTTTTAATGGACCTATCCTTTCCCTAGTCTTAGAACGATATAACTGAAAAAACCCTTTAGGATTTGTCTTTGCTTGCCCTGCTATGCGAACTTCATAGTTTCTTTTTGCTTTCCTTATCTCTTTTTTAACATTTCTAACCAGTTGTACGAATTCCTGTTCTAAAGTGACCTCCCCATTTTTAATCCTTTTGTACCAAGCTCTCTTTTTACCTATAAGGTTCTTCAAATTCTTTGTTATCCACTTTGGGTCATTAGTATACGATCTATTCAATTTGTATGGTATACTACGTTCCTGTGCTTTGTTTAGAATATTCTTAAATAAGTTATATATTGAATCCACATCGAAATCCCCATTTAAGTCACCTATCGCTGGGTTCATGTCTCGCTCCAAGACCGGCCCACACCCCATACCCAAGCCTTTCCAATCAATTTGACCCAAAAAATTTCTTAGGCTATTAAAATCAGCTTTTCGAAAATCTGGCACTTTAACAGAATTTTCTCCTACTGGTCTATTCCATTCTATGCTAAATCTGATTTCTTTGTGATCACTGCTCCCTAGCTCACTCCCTATTTCGATGTCATTAATTTGCGTTTCCCTGTTAGTTAACACTAAATCTAAAATATTATTTTCCCGTGTTGGTTCCTTAATGTGTTGCGTAAGAAAGCAATCGTCAATTAATTCTAGAAAATCTTCTGCTTCACTATTCCCTGTTTTGTTCAACCAGTTTATTCCGCTAAAATTAAAGTCACCCATGACATAAATACTGTTAGATCTAGATGCTCTAGATATTTCATCCCATAGATGCTTTGCTTCCATTCTGTCTAAATTTGGTGGCCTATATATTACTCCTATTATAATATTATTAGCTTTTTCGTTTAATTCAATCCAAATAGTTTCTGTGTGTGGCTCTGTTTTGATTCCCTCTTTGAGACTACATTTCAAATTGTCCCTAACATATATGGCTACTCCACCTCCTCGTCTAATATATCTATCTGTGTGAAATAGTTTAAATCCATATATTTGATATTCAGCTAATAGTTCTCTATTTTCTACATTCATCCACGTTTCGGTAAGTGCAATAATATCTATTTTTTCTGTGCAGACAAGAGCATTTAATTCGTTAATTTTATTTCTTAGACTTCTACTGTTAGTGTAATATACCCTAAGTGAATTGTTATTTTGCGGACCTTCTCTTTCCCTGATCGTTTTGCCAATTCCTTTCTCCCACAAACACATACTTTTATTACCTCCTTCCTCCAAATCAATTCCCATACCTCTATCTACTAACAGTTTAAACCCAAACAAACACCTCTAACCACTTCTTCTAGCGAGTTCGCAACAGCAACAACCCCAGTGCAGTTGCACTGGGGTTCTGCAGTTGCCTTTGTTCTTATGTTCTTATATTTGCAGTACGTGGGTGCAATTCGAATATGGCAAGTGAGTAAAGCAGTGTTCGAGAAAAGTTCGAAGGTAATCAGTTGCATTTGCAGCCCGTTCTCATCAACAAAGGCCGAATGGTCGTTAATCCAGTTCCCAAACCCCCTATTTATGATTGAAAGACAGTTTACACACAACTCACAAGTGATGATGTTCGAACATTTCTCAAACAGTGCCTCGTTGACCACAACCCTATAAATGCTTCACCCACTTATTTCAAATACAAATAACCGACAAGTGAACCTAAACACCTTACCTACGCCTAACTATATATTAATCTTTAATTAATACTAATATTAATTTATATATGAGAACACACCTATTTTAATACACAATATTTTAAAGTTGAGGGCTGCCGTTGTCCCCCCCCCCCCCTTTAGATGGGGGCAACGGCAGTCCTTTTTTAATGAGCATGGCTAGAGGACAGGTTGAAATAATACAAATTGTCAACAAAACCTAACCAACTAACCTAAGTTAGGCCTAACTATTCAGTACATTCTAGTATTATAATATTACCTTTTATTTGAGATAAAACAAGTTGGTGAATGAGGCTTTGTACTAGGACGCCGCCTGGGTGAACCTAGCCTGAGGACAGGCAGCCGTTGTATGGTAAAGAATCTTTCATTCATTAACATGGAATTGACAGCTGGATTAATGATTATTTGGTTAATGGTTTGAGGATAGGCTTCGAGGTATGTAGGATCCACGACTCATGGGTGAGTCGTAGGTAGGATCCACGACTCATGGGTGAGTCGTAGGTAGGATCCACGACTCATGGGTGAGTCGTACGTAGGATCTCAAGAGACCACCTTAAAAGAGTTAACAGGTGTTTTTGCCATCAATTATCATTGAGTAGCATTCGAACGTAGAGGATACACTATTAGTACTGTGCTACAGAATTTGAAATTCCTTATGCAAACCTAGCTGGGAACTGTGAAAATTATATATTACGATGCTGTTAAAAATAATGTGAAAGTTCAGCTAGGTGTGCATGACTAAAAATAGTGAAATCAAATAGAAACAAATTGTATATTTCGACTGGAGCAGTGTAAGGGTTAAAGGTAACCAATCATCGTTTAAGTTAAACAAACAATACTTAGGAGAACAGTGCACAGTGCTTAGGTGCACAGTGAACTCTCAACCTAATGTATTTATGAGAAAATATTCAGGCTGTATGGTAGGATCGAACCCGCGTCCCTGGACCTCCCAGGCACACACACTACTAACTGAACTCGAAACACCAAGAAAAATATGCATGTGATACTTGGTCCTTATGTGCCACATATTAATTTGTTGAGGTTCTTAAACAATGCCCGTCAGAATCACATGTAATATTTATGTTAATTATGTCTGCTCAACTTAATGATTCAGTATTAACCTAAAATTCATATCTTTTTTTCTAGTGTATAAATGTATCATGAAACTGAAATCTCCATGACAACCATTTGTTTATAGAAGGCCTACTTGTCATGCTAAAATTAAATATTTCTTGAATACATGGATATTCTTTGTTACATCCTTGAATATATTATATATTTATATATATTATATATATGATATATATATATATATGATATATATATATATATATATATATATATATATATATATATATATATATATATATATATATATATATATATATATATAAGCCTATACTTGCATAAACCACAAGTGAAGATTAACAATCTTTGGACAACACCCACCAGTGGGCCTCGAACCCAGAAAGCACAACTACCTTCCAGTAGCTGCCATAACTAGTACGCCTTAACCCACTACACCATCAGACCCTACAAAAGAAGTAGAGACTTCGAGATATATATACACCTCAAATATCTCCACTTCCCGAGGGCACTAGACAAGTGAGAGGTTACTCTGCGTTTTTCATCAAGCCACTATCAATGTGAGAGAACTCGTGTCCATGCTATAAGCCTATACTTGCATAAACCACAAGTGAAGATTAACAATCTTTGGACAACACCCACCAGTGGGCCTCGAACCCAGAAAGCACAACTACCTTTCACTTGTGGTTTATGCAAGTATAGGCTTATAGCATGGACACGAGTTCACATTGACAGTGGCTTGATGAAAAACGCAGAGTAACCTCTCACTTGTCTAGTGCCCTCGGGAAGTGGAGATATTTGAGGTGTATATATATCTCGAAGTCTCTACTTCTTTTGTAGGGTCTGATGGTGTAGTGGGTTAAGGCGTACTAGTTATGGCAGCTACTGGAAGGTAGTTGTGCTTTCTGGGTTCGAGGCCCACTGGTGGGTGTTGTCCAAAGATTATATATATATATATATATATATATATATATATATATATATATATATATATATATATATATATATATATATATATATATATATATATATATATATATATATATATATATATATATATATATATATATTACATACACACATTTGAAGGTGTGGGTATCTGGCTAATGATTGGCCGAAGTGGGTTTCCTCTCCAGACACAAAGCAGAACGCTTTAAAAGAGACCAACGTCGTCTATGCCTTCAAATGCCCTCTTGGGGACTGTAAGCTCCAAAAAACCCAGTATATAGGCAAGACAACAACATCTCTTTCTAGGCGTTTAACGATGCATAAGCAACAGGGCTCCATTAAGGAACATATAATCTCTTCCCACAACCAAACCATCGCCAGAGAAATCCTAGTAAACAACACAGAAATCATCGATAGATACAGCGATAGCAGGCGGCTTGACGTTTGCGAGGCACCACACATCAAGAAGTCAACACCAGCAATCAACAGGCAATTAATGCACAACTATATTCTACCCACCTCAAGACTCCGTTCCAATATAGAAGCATCAAGAAATATGGACCAATAGGCTTTCTACAATCACTTCCATTCAATACCCATTGTTTCGTGTTCTGTCTTGTGTTTAGGAATTTAATACCCTATTAATACCACCTCACCCCATCCACCTCACTCAAATGTAGATATAAACAAATCGAAGATGTGTAAGTTCTATTCAGTTGTGTATGTGTAAACTAAAGTCTTTGAAAATGTAATAAGTTTTACGAAACGCGCTCAAGTGTCGCGTCAGACTAGAAATAAAAATGAATTTTGGAGAATTGATTTTTGAATTACCACCAACAGTGAAAAGAAACGTACGAAAGATCGAGAAAATTCGTGTTAGAATTATTAATCTTACTTTTTCGGTCATATTTAATAATATATGTCTACAGGAAAGACTGCTACCAAAATATACTATATATATATATATATATATATATATATATATATATATATATATATATAAAATGCTGAATCGTATTTTACAGACTGTAATTTTATGAAACGCAGCTCCCACAGTGACCTTGGAGTTGCCTGTAGAACGACGGCTTCGCTTCTTGCTGGGTCGGCGTTCCATCCCATTGGTCTAGGTGTTTGTGCACCATTCCTTCCCTCCGTCCCACCCCCAGACCCCTTGTCCTCATATCCCTTGCAAGTGCTACGTAGCCTCCCTGACTTAGCACTCACTCCTCGTAATGACCTCACTTCAGCTGGGGACTCGAACCTCTATGGTGAGGTTGAGTCTACATGAGGACCGTTCCGGGGCTTCACCACGAGCTTCAGCTTAACAAGCTCAAGCTTTATTTAAGTGCAATAAGTTGTATTATATAAAGGAGAATTATACCAGAAAGTGTCACTCGTTATTTTTCCTTTATAAAATAAATGAATGTATAAAATCTATTACAATTAAGTTAACCACAAGATTATTGTATACGTAGGTATAACTTGTATTGCTTCTGTTGCAACTCAACTTTCATCGTTGATGGTAGTGGTGGTGATAGTGTGAGTGTTATTGCTAGTGATGATGGTCATGGTGCTAGTAGTGATGGTGGTGGTGGTGATGGTCCTGGTGGTGGTGGTGATGGTCTTGGTGCTAGGGGGACGCTGCTAGCAGTGGAGACGTGACCGTCACAGGTGGTGATGGCGTCGTTGCTAGCGCTAGTAAGAGGTGGCGCCACTAGGCATTGTTCCTGATCCAGTCGAGGAAGCTGGTGACTCTGGTGTAGACGCCCGGAAAGCCCGCCTCGGCGCACCGGGTGCCGAAGGACACCAGACCCGCCACCACCCAGCGGCCCTCCACCAGCCTCATCATGGGCCCTCCGCTGTCGTCCTGTGGGAGCACCCGGACCCGTGTTATACCCAGGAGTCATGGGGCATACTCTGATGATGTATGAGATATATACACTGATGATGTATGGGACATATACACTGATGATGTATGGGACATATACACTGATGATGTATAGGATATATACAATGATGTATAGGACATACATGACTCATCAGCTCCAGACATCTGCCTTGGGCCAAAATCATATGATAACACTGAATAAGCGATGCTTCTGTCTGGGTGAACCAGTGGGATGAATTCCTATGTAAGTAATCTTTCCGTGTGTTCTGGCCCATCTGAGCATAAACGTACCGTGCCTGACTTATACTCTGTTTTGTCCGTGGTTCGAATCCCCACTATATTTATGGCGTATTTACCTTTACTCATGCTTGTGTTGAACAGAATGTGAGTCAGAAATGCACAGGTGTGTGTGAAGAGTTTTATAAATCACTCTTCCAGACGAACCCAGATAATCTGCTGAAGACCCGCCTTCCTGAGCTGCTTGGCATGAGGCTACAGCTCGGTGGAGGGACGGCCTCGCATCTTGCAGGCCGCAGTTCGATCCCTGATGGTCCAAGTGGTTGGACAAAATTCCTTTCTTCTGTCGAATCTTACATCCTTATCCTCATACCCCTTTCAAATGATGATATATATATATATATATATATATATATATATATATATATATATATATATATATATATACATATATATATATATATATATATATATATATATATATATATATATATATATATATATATATATATATATATATATGTCGTACCTAGTAGCCAGAACTCACTTCTCAGCCTACTATGCAAGGCCCGATTTGCCTAAAAGCCAAGTTTTACTTTATTAATATATTTTCTCTAATTTTTTCTTATGAAATGATAAAGCCACCCATTTCATTATGTATGAGGTCAAATTTATTTTATTGGAGTTAAAATTAACGTAGATATATGACCGAACCTAACCAACCCTACCTAACCTAACCTAACCTATCTTTATAGGTTAGGTTGGGTTAGGTAGTAGAAAAAGTTAGGTTAGGTTAGGTTAGGTAGGTTAGTCGAAAAACAATTAATTCATGAAAACTTGGCTTATTAGGCAAATTGGGCCTTGCATAGTAGGCTGAGACGTGCGTTCTGGCTACTAGGTACGACATATATATATATATATATATATATATATATATATATATATATATATATATATATATATATATAAGCCTATACTTGCATAAACCACAAGTGAAGATTAACAATCTTTGGACAACACCCACCAGTGGGACTCGAACCCAGAAAGCACAACTACCTTCCAGTAGCTGCCATAACTAGTATGCTTTAACCCACTACACCATCAGACCCTACAAAAGAAGTAGAGACTTCGATGTATATATATCTATGTATATATATATATATACAAGTAGATGTATATATATCTCGAAGTCTCTACTTCTTTTGTAGGGTCTGATATGGTGTAGTGGGTTAAAGCGTACTAGTTATGGCAGCTACTGGAAGGTAGTTGTGCTTTCTGGGTTCGAGTTCCACTGGTGGGTGTTGTCCAAAGATATATATATATATATATATATATATATATATATATATATATATATATATATATATATATATATATATATATATATATATATATATATATATATATATATATATATATATATATATATATATATATATATATATATATATATATAATAATTATCAGGAGAAAGAGAAAGCGCTCAGCCATTAGCCAGCATGATTATATAACACTTGGAAGGAATGTGAGGACAAGGAGCTGGGATACGAGGACGGGATCAAGGAATGGTGACCAACCACTTGGACATTGTTGATCGCCCTCCGACCTGCAAGAAGCGACACCTTGGCTATAGTGACCAGTCCTACTGCGCTGATATAACGTGACTTGGTCCTGGTGTGTGCGTGTGTGTGTGTTGATGCTCACCTGACATGCATCGCGGCCACCTTCCCTGAGGCCGGCACAGATCATGGCGTCAGTGATGGGCTGGTCGTAGGCGTCGTCACAGTCACTGTTGCTCCACACGGGCAGCTCCACCTTCCGCAGCACCGATGACACCGGCCCTCGGTAACGGATGGCTCCCCAGCCTGAGGGTGTGTTGGAGGGTGAGGTCAGCCTTCAAGCTCTCTCTCTCTCTCAATGTAGTTATTGATCAACATAAATATACACGTTATGATTATTAATACACCAAGATGTTTCCACGGCACATGCAGGGTTGTAATATTGTATCTATAATTATATGATCTAAAACTAGTTATATAAAGGTTTTATTAAGTTTATTTTTATTAAGTTTACTACGTTTATTAAGTTTATTTTCATTATGTTTTTAAGTTTATTTTTATTAAGTTTATTTTTATTATGTTTATTTAGTTTATTTTTATTAAGTTTATTAAGCTTATTTTGATTAAGTTGTTAAGTTTATTAAGTTTATTTTTATTAGGCTTAATCACGTGAGAACAACTCCTTTAGATGTCCCTACCACAGAGGCTGGCTCTATGATGTCAGATGATTGATAAAGATTAAGCCACCCAGAATGTGGCACGGGCATGAATAGCCCGTAATATGATGCCAGGACACTTGTCAAGACTCAAGTGTGCAGCTAAACCCCACAAAATATATTACATGTATTGTCTTTAATCCCCTTTAATTAAGCAATTTGTAACATTAAGATTTAAGTGTTAATGACCAAGGAGACTATACCGTACAAGCAGGACAGGACGCGAGACTCACCGACGACAGTGACAACGTCACCCGTGAAAGAGAGGCCAGGAGGCGGGAGGCAGATGGGGCGGACGAACCCCGAGTAGAGGACGGGTCGCTCCAGGTACATGAGCGCGATGTCGTTATTGAAGGTTTGGCTGTCGAACTCTGGGTGGAGGCGGAGGCCAGCCACCCTGTGGTTGACGTGCCGGGATTCTCCCTCACGGCTGAAGTCGTGTTCCCCCACGCGAACCCAGATGGTGTTGGGGTCGTACCTATAACAGGAGGCCAGTCAGTGCTCGCTCTCAGAATGAAGCGAGAATGTGATGCATCTACGATAAAATATTGAGGCAGTATAATTGGACTGAAGCTTCATACCTGGACTCCCCAGGCACACGCACAGCCGACATAACCATGATGAGCGCAAAGAGATACATGCCAGTAGTAATAGACTCAATGATCACGTTTCCCCCTCACTGGGTTACCACATCACTTGGACTCGGCACATGCCGCGACATATTGGGCACCTTGCCTCCATTAGGGGCAGGAGAGACGTACCCAGCAAGACAGTGGGCAGCGGTGAGGACGTGTGTGTTGGAAAGAAGGACGCCTGCGCAGTACTGGTTGGGTGAAGCATCAGTGCGCAGGATGGAGACCACCCACGGGAACTCCCCGGCGCTGGTCACCACTCCGCCCACTATCCTCACGCTGCTCACTTCACTCACACCGCACGCTGCAACAACACCAACACACTCAACAGGTCATAAGAACATTTTTAATAACGGGAGACTTCAATCATGTGGAAACAGACCAGCCCGTCCTCCTAAGAAACGTCAAGAAACAACGTTTAGTACGTGAATTAAGAAACTGTCGTACCAAAGTGCCCTTATCCTAACCTACCAGAGGACCCAAAACAGAAAACTGGACAGTATTTCAATTTCGCGAGCCGCTATCATTTTCTAGTACGTCAAAATGCGACGCTGTATTAGGAGGACGGGTTGATAGAGAGGGAGGCAGTGTTATCCTTCAGTTACTGACCGACGGACGTTGAGGCCTGAGGCGGTGCCAAGGGGCGCCCTGGAGGCAGGACAGGGCGTGGGGCGGCGGGAGGCGCTGTGGGGCGTGGGCAGCACACGCCCACAGATCTGTAAAGACCACAAATGTAATAAGTCTACCATTGTCGGGGACAGGAAGCCAGTTCACATTTCAGTAAATTGGCCCCCAGGAGTTAGTCAACTGTTGTGGATTGCTTCCCAGGGCAGGTCAGTCGTTGGTCTGGGCCCTGGAGAGGACAATGTAAACCATGTTTATAAAATTCATTTTTAAGACTACTCATTGCCCAGTAGATAGAGCTTAAATCAACCTCACACGCCTGGGGTCCAGGGTTCGAGACCCATACAGCCCAGGTGAATGGAAAGACTAACATGCTTCTTGTCCCCAAGAATGCAAAATCAAAGTAACTGTTCTAGATGAAGGTTTTCTACACATTAATGAAAATATAACACATAGAGGAAGGAAGGAAGGAATTATCAAGGCAAAGCGCCAAGCCATTATGGCTATATATCACTTTGAAGGGGTCAGGATAAGGATATTGGATGGGACGGGCGAAAGGAATGGTATCCAAGCACTTGGACGGTCGGGGGATTGAACGCCGACCTGCATGAAGCGTGACCGTCGCTCTACCGTCCAGCCCAAGTGGTTGGACAAATAGAGGAAAATACAGAAGGCCAATTGGGCTATACGAGACAGCACCCGTTTTAAACAACCCAACGATCCCACTTCTATTAAGTTAAACTACCCGGTAATTTGTTCCATATTTCCGCAGGCGTCCAGCTTCATGGGCTGGACGCTCTACCCTCCATCCCAACCACTTGGGCTGGACGGTAGAGCGACGGTCTCGCTTCATGCAGGTCGGCGTTCAATCCCCGACTTTCCAAGTGGTTGGGCACCATTCCTTTCCCCCGTCCCATCCCAAATCTTCCTCCTGACCCCTTCCAAGTTCTATATAACCATAATGGTTTGGCACTCTCCCCTGATAATTCCCTCCCACCATATATCAGGTCTATTGTAAATTCCCGCGTCATGTCAAGCCATAATCTTCGCCGGTGTAGGAGCTGTAACTGAGGCCATCTTAACCTTTCTGCTCGCGCTAGTTTATGTCACTTGTACGGAGAGCAACACTAAAGGCGGCCACACACCAGCAAGAACAACCTCAAGAAAAGCATCTTGTGTTGGTCTTGTGTTGGTCTTGTGTTGGTCTTGTGTTGGCCTTGTGTTGGCCTTGTGTTGGTCTTGTGTTGGTCTTGTGTTGGTCTTGTGTTGGCCTTGTGTTGGTCTTGTGTTGGTCTTGTGTTGGTCTTGTGTTAGTCACGCAGGCCACTACATAGGCCATTATATTATGTATGTATTCTTCCATGTAAAAAATAATTTATAACAACAATGAGGATTGACTCACACGCCCTGGATGACGCAGGCGTAGCGTCGGAAGAGTGCGTAATTGTTGCGTATCTGTGGCAGGACGCAGTACTGGACGGGGCGACACCTGCCGGCCTCCTGCAGCGGCGTCACGCACTCCTGGTGCAGCACGTCGGGCTGTGGGGAGAGTGAGGCGTCGGTGGTGGTGGTGGTGGTGAGGGGTCTGTGGTGGTGGTGATGGTGAGAGGTCTGTGGTGGTGGTGATGGTGAGAGGTTTGTGGTGGTGGTGGTGGTGAGGGGTCAGTGGTGGTGGTGGTGGTGGTGGTGAGCGGTCTGTGGCGGTGAGGGGTCAGTGGTGGTGGTGGTGATGGTGGTGAGGGTCCTTTATGATGTCATCAATACTCAGCAGCGCCACAGAGGGCACCACAGGGTGTGATTGGTATTTCCAGGTATGTCCACAACCTGGACATACCAATCACACCTGGTTGGTGTAGCCTCACAGTCGCCTGGAAGGTAGACGAGCACCGCCTGAGGACGGGTCGAGGCTTACCTGTACCTGCCGCTGGGTAATAGTGAATCTAGCGAACTCGGCAACATTGGGGGCGTTCGTAAGATTGAATCCGTCTTCAGTCAACTGCTCCTGCTGGATCAGCTGAGGAATCTCCTCAAACGCCTGGACGAACAGATCTTTGGAAAAAAATGAAAATATTCTTAATTAAAATGAAATCAGTAAAATTCAATTATTATAAATGTAGGTACGTAAGATGTAATATATTTTGAAACAAGTAATCTAATCCTGAAATGTGATATCTTGCTTAACAAAGGGGTATCCATACCCCGTTTGGTGGGCATGGGAACCAAATCATCAGGGTATTTATAGGGATTCGATTTCAAAAACATCTTAAAAACGAAATCGTTGTTAGATTATAATTATCTATCACCCTTATCAGAAGGGATTCTGGGGGGGGGGTTCCTCCAATGTTTTGATCACACAAAAACAAAAGCAAAAATCCCACAAACAGTAACTAGTAACAGTGACAAACAGTTTACTGACATAAACTATAGATTCGATCAACACTTACATTCCGGAAAGTTGGCAGATGGAAATTGAGCTGTTGAAATGTCACTTCCTAGGAAGTTGTCCGTTGGAAACCCTCCGAGGTTGCCTGCTGTGAAGCCTCCCAGGCTGTCTGTTTGGAAACCTCCCTGGTGTGTTGGGAAACCCCCGAGGTTGCCTGGTTGGAAACCCCCGAGGTTGCCTGGTTGGAAACCCCCGAGGTTGCCTGGTTGGAAACCCCCGAGGTTGCCTGGTTGGAAACCCCCGAGGTTGCCTGGTTGGAAACCCCCGAAGTTGCCTGGTTGGAAACCCCCGAGGTTGCCTGATTGGAAACCCCCGAAGTTGCCCGTAAGGAAAGCACCATTGGGGAAGTTAGGAGCCGGGAATCCCCCAGGAGCAGCGCTGCTAACGTCGAGTACGAACCGTCCCGTGATGGGGTCTGGCAACAGGGCGAAACATTCGTTAGTTGTAGTGACCGGTAAACACAACGTTGTAAAGATACGTAGTACCAACGTTAATGTTACGTCTTAACAACGGTGAGACTACGTCGTAACAACGTTGAGCCTACGTCATAACAACGTTGAGACTACGTCATAACAACGTTGAGACTACGTCGTAATAACGTTGAGCCTACGTCGTAACAACATTGAGACTACGTTGTAACAACGTTTTGACCACGTCGTAGCAACGTTGAGCCTACGTCATAACAACGTTGAGACTACTTCTTAACAACGTTGAGACTACGTCGTAACAACGTTGAGACTACGTCGTAACAACGTTGAGCCTACATCGTAACAGCGTTGAGACTATGTCGCAACAACATTGTGACTACATCGTAACAACGTTGAGACTACGTCGTAGCAACGTTGTGACTGCGTCGTAACAACGTTGAGACTACGTCGTAGCAACGTTGTGACTACGTCGTAGCAACGTTGAGACAACATTCTAGAAACATTGAGGCCACGTAGGAACAACCTTGCGGCGACATCAAAACAACGTTATTATAACTTAAAACTATTTTTTACATTTGGGTTGTGTGTTTTACCAAGGGTGTTGTCAGGTCTCACAACGACACTCAAGTTCGCTCTAAAACTTTCTTTAAATAACAAGAACAGACAAAAAATGGCACTAATTACCCCCCCATTGTTTTGGACTCTATGTTGATATTTGTAATGTTTTATATATCAAATTCACAAACATATATCATAAAGAAACATGTTTGTTCATACTATTTTCAACACACAAGGTTGAAATCTGTAAAAACATTTGTGTATGCTGGCAACAGTATATATATAATAACGGGGTTACTATATGAGGTATAATCATGACCCACGTGAGGTTATACTCGCCTCTCAGGAACTTGGGAGGGCCGCGGGGGATGTGTCTGGCCTGGGGCTTGGCTGCGCCTCCCCGCACTTCACCTGCGCCTCCCCGCGCCTCACCTGCGCCTCCCCGCGCCTCACCTGCTGACACACAACATCTGGAATATATTCTCATGCATTTTATATAAAATATTAAGGCAACTAAAATCTTATATTATTAAGGCTCATCTCGTTATGAAAGAAAGAATTGACTGACATATATATATATATATATATATATATATATATATATATATATATATATATATATATATATATATATATATATATATATATATATATATATATATATATATAGAGAGAGAGAGAGAGAGAGAGAGAGAGAGAGAGAGAGAGAGAGAGAGAGAGAGAGAGAGAGAGAGAGAGAGAGAGAGAGAGAGAGAGAGAGAGAGAGAGAGAGACTCACCTTGTATACTAAAGTTGCTGTTAGTGAAGCTGTGTTGGGAGGCAGGTCCTGGAGGCGTGCCCACGGCTGTGGAAAAGATACCAATGGTTTACTTCCACACTGCTAGTGTCTCAATTTGTGTGTGTGTGTGAGTGTTTCAGTGTCGTACTTACACTGTCGCTTGTGTCGAGGGTGTCCAGCGGCGCCCACTTTATCAACCACCAACACCACCACCACCAACACTAATATCAACGTCCTTATTTGCTTCGAAAACATCTCAAGGTTCATCCTGCAATGGTAGAGGGACCACCATGAGAGAGATATGTGAGGAATAGAGGTACACTTTCGCAGTAGATGAGAAAGTTTAGTCGGAGCTACTTAGTCCTTTACATTTTCGATGAGAGACACCGGATACGAGATACTCAGTGTCTCTCGCACATTAAATGAGAAGATCGGAGGTAATGTTGAGACACACCACAGATGAAACTCTCCTAGCTGAGCTAATGGGAAGGGAGTCACTTCCACCTTCGGTGATATCTTAGCACAGGAAATGAGAACTTCCCATAAGGTGAACTGCAGTTAACATCCCGGACGTTTGACTAACAAAACCGCACATAATATTTTTACACCGAACATAAGCACTTGTTAGGTACACTTACACCGTGCAAGATACGCCGTAAATGAGACACTGCCACGCTACAAGTGACACACAGACAGAGCGACCCAAACAGAGTACTGAGTATAACGAGAGTGGACACAGCTGTGAGCCTTGAGGTATACCACCTTCTGGATCAGCCAGACAGAGCACCCAACCTACCTGACAAGCCATGAGACACCCCTCCCCCACCCAGCTACCGGATCAGCTAGACAGAGACCTCCCCCTACCCGACTAGCCATGAGAAACTCTGACCTACCCGACTAGCCATGAGAAACTCTGACCTACCCGACTAGCCATGAGAAACTCTGACCTACCCGACTAGCCATGAGAAACTCTGACCTACCCGACTAGCCATGAGAAACTCTGTCCTCCCAACTAGCCATGAGAAACTCTCACCTACCGGACTAGCCATGAGAAACTCTCACCTACCGGATTAGCCATGAGAAACTCTCACCTACCGGACTAGCCATACAGGACGAGCAACAGGGAAATACCCAACTAACCAGGTACTACTCCCAGGAGCCAGAACTCCTCCGGTCAAAACTAGTCCGACTGCTGTGCGGGGCGGGCTGGTCAAGGACGTTTCCTCCTTGTGCATTAAATGTCAAGAATTTTCTCAATTTTTTTTATGTTTTAGTAAGTGTTGAGATGCAGCTGTTCCTGCATGTCAGGGTCGTCAAGGTCCTGTTCTTCCTTGCTTCTGTTCGTAAGTATACTTGACATTATGTATACTATTATTGCAGATCATGTATGTATACCGTGGGGTATATGCATATATATATCATGTATATTTACCGTGGGGTAAAATATTAGTACAATTGTCATCATGTATACTTATCGTTGTATACTTAACTTTTATTGCACTTATCATTAAGTGCATGAGTCTGTGAGACTGAGTGTGAGTCCGTGAGTCTCAAAGAGAGTATGTAAGTCCACGATTCTGTTGGGCAGAGAATGTAAGTCCATAAGTGTGTGAGTCTATGAAACTGAGCGCATGAGAGTCAGAGACATTACACACCTGTACACCGAGGACTCTCATGACTGAGCGCATAAGCGTCTCTCATGACTCTTCCAGTCAGGCTCGGCGGCCTTGGTGTCCGCACTGCCACACAAATTGCTGTCCCAGCCTTCCTGTGTTCCTCTTCAGCATCAGATGACCCGGTCAAGAAAACTCTACCTGACAACCTGGATGATTCAGCGGGGATATGTGACCCCCACAGAAGGCAACGCAAAGTTGGGTGTGGGAACCGACCTGTGAGATTTATATTTATTTAATTTATATGAATTTATATTTACGTTAATTTATATACTTCGATAGCAATTTGTATAATGATAAGTGGACTGTATTTCTGCAATAATCTCATAATCTCACAAATCGATCCTCTACACATTAGGGGGGGTTTATTAGTTTATATATATGCAGCCAATCAAACTACAGGATTAACTACATACATTGAAAAGGTTCCTTATCTTATAGTACAGCAGGTTAGTCCACCAGGTATCACTAGGGTGTAGACACCAAATTATCCTCTTTGAGGCAGCTTCCATCACCCAGTAACTGGTGCACAAATCTTGCATCCTCGTCTTGACCTGTCAAAAGTGCGCTAGCTGTGAAGCCAGAATCCTATATATGACAAGCTATATCAGAGAAAACACTATACAGAACATTGAAGACCTGGCTTAATTACCTTTAGTTTGAGGCGATTTCGCGATCTAATCGGGTCACCCTATATCCTGACATTAATGGCCATAAATGAATGATAAACGGGTTTCGGAAAGAACACTTAACTTGATTTGTTGACAGCGTGTTGACAGATGGTACACCTTTGGTATCCATAACACTACGTCCAAGTAAAATTAACAGGAGCCGAATTTGCTCCCGTGTGAGCCTCTGGTCTCGATAAACACAATGGCTGTTTAACACTCCATACTATTGACGTTACTGGCCGACATTGTCCAGAATGATAGGAGCCGAATTTGCTCCACACGTCTCGGAGGTGACACAACAATGGCTCCCCTCCTTCCTCCTGACGCCTGGCCTACTTTGTCCAGATTTCAGAAAGTGATAGAAGGGTCACATTTACTCTACTTTAATATTGATAATTAAGTTAATTTATATAAGATGTTTTTATGATGGTAAAGTCCAAAGACTAATGTATTTAAGAATAATTCCCAGCAGAATAGCTGGTGAATTATAATGGTATGTGGTGATGATATCCCGTTTTCTTTAGATGGTAATTCCACTACAAGTTACGTTTTCTATGGGTAACTTGTTGGTAATACAGATATTATCTGTATGATTATTAAATGGTGTCGGATTTTCCGACATAATTCCCCAGGGGGCTGCTCACGGGTCGAAGTCCTGTTTAGAACAGACGAACACCGATACTCCTCCTTCGAATTATTAGATTAATTTGATGTTAGTAGTAAGTAATCACACATTTGTGTGTCTGTTCGTACAGGACGGATGTCCCGTACTAGAGTTATAGGGGTTAGAAGTCTAATGCGATTTCATTTCCCTGTCAACTCTTGAAAGGCTAATATTCAAGCCTTATTACATATTATTTAACCCAGAAGACTGAATGTGATCAAGTACTACAGTCAAGTATGATTCAGGGACTGCAGTGAGATCAGTGACATTAGATATAACTTGAAGTTTCTTCAGGTAACTGGTCACTGATATATAAACACTGAGGCCCATGGAATACATCTTGATTAAATAATAAATGTATCAAATCAGTCATCAGATTTATTGGGGTTTTAATTTAGTTAATTGATTCAGAGGATTGAATAGCTCATCATTAAAGTAAAGTATGGTTCTGAGACTGCAGTGGGTTCAGTGACATTGGTCGCAGTGACTTGTAGCTGTTTTAGGCTACTGTTCACTGATTTGCCACTGAGGCCTCATGAAATCATCTTCAGCTTCAAATGATGATACTAACATCAACCTCTGTTACTATAGTCAGCTGTAATCTCCTTAGTATAATGCTACTGGAGAAATATAATCAGCTGACAAATTTAGATTTCTACTGGTATTGTTTATCTGCAGGCATAGGTCTCCTCAGGCTTGATACTGGGCCTGAGAGTAATTTACCTCCTGCAGAGTTTAACATGGTTATGCCCTGATATTTAGTAGGGCTACCAATGAATTGATGGTAGTAGTCTGTCCCCACAAGGACAGCCATTTGGCATTTGATTTGCTCAAATTTACCTGCAGCTGTTTGATAATAGCTTTCCAGGTCAGCATAATCAACTTGAGATTGTTGTGACAAATCTTCACATTTCTTGATCTGTCTTGTTAAGTGGCCTTTAAGACCTGCAAGGGTTCTTTCCATTCTCCCTGCATTATCCATACTGGCTCGTTGGTGAAGCCTTGTGGGGCTTGTACTTGGGCTGCTCATAATACTGAACAAGCACTGATGGTAGCCTAGGGTCAATTCTGCACTCACTAGGCAATAATCCTACCTCTACTAGAGGTTAGCACTTAAAATTAATACACATTATATATATACAATCATACACACTAATGATTTGAGTGATAAACCAGTGTCATGGAAGTACCTTTAGGTTAGCTCTTCTATATCACCCTAGGATGGTAGAGACACTAATTAATCACTCAAAGGTGTAATGATCATAAGTAAATTATTATATATACAACTCAACTCGAGTTGATAAAAATTACACCCAAAATAGGGTCTGCACCATTCATTAATGGTGTTAGGTTAATCAATATAGTACAACTGACTATGGTAATAATGGGACTAGGATGAACAATAATAGTTCAACTAGTCATATCCTACCCTGTTGTGGGTTGGCAATTAGTAAATATTATACTGTGAACACTAGTGCAGTATATATTAAATGATTCTCTATTTTGGAGAAATAATATACACAATTATTGATAATAGCCTCTTAATTAGCCTCTATGAAACTTCTAATATTATCTAGAAGTATTAAATATTATTAGTGACCTCGCGAAATAAAGTCCACAAAATTCGTAGATAATCTCTCGCGAAATGTAACACCACGAAATCCGTGAACAATATCGCGAAGACACAGTCACTAATTAGGCTGGCTTCAATATTAGCGCTGTCATTTCACGAAATAACACGCCACCAAATATCTGTGGGTGTGCATGAAACCGCTGACGAAGCTGAACTGGGCTGAGGGAGGCTCCTGAGCTCCCACGAGGCTTCGCCGCCGTCTTGACTGCTGGCCTTTGTTTAAATAACACTGCACTAGATATTTTATGAATCCACTGGTTAACTGGTTCATCAGGTACTAAGATGACCAAATGTGGGTTCATAGGACCGAATATTCCGGTATCCGGTTCGAAGATGACCAATTAATGTGGGAACCGACCTGTGAGATTTATATTTATTTAATTTATATGAATTTATATTTACGTTAATTTATATACTTCGATAGCAATTTGTATAATGATAAGTGGACTATATTTCTGCAATAATCTCATAATCTCACAAATCGATCCTCTACACATTAGGGGGGGTTTATTAGTTTATATATATGCAGCCAATCAAACTACAGGATTAACTACATACATTGAAAAGGTTCCTTATCTTATAGTACAGCAGGTTAGTCCACCAGGTATCACTAGGGTGTAGACACCAAATTATCCTCTTTGAGGCAGCTTCCATCACCCAGTAACTGGTGCACAAATCTTGCATCCTCGTCTTGACCTGTCAAAAGTGCGCTAGCTGTGAAGCCAGAATCCTATATATGACAAGCTATATCAGAGAAAACACTATACAGAACATTGAAGACCTGGCTTAATTACCTTTAGTTTGAGGCGATTTCGCGATCTAACCGGGTCACCCTATATCCTGACATTAATGGCCATAAATGAATGATAAACGGGTTTCGGAAAGAACACTTAACTTGATTTGTTGACAGCGTGTTGACAGATGGTACACCTTTGGTATCCATAACACTACGTCCAAGTAAAATTAACAGGAGCCGAATTTGCTCCCGTGTGAGCCTCTGGTCTCGATAAACACAATGGCTGTTTAACACTCCATACTATTGACGTTACTGGCCGACATTGTCCAGAATGATAGGAGCCGAATTTGCTCCACACGTCTCGGAGGTGACACA